CTATATTAATAAGTGGTAGTTCTAATCTGAAACTATCTCAAAGATTTAAAAATACCTTATTATCCCTAAGCATGAAAACAAATCCGGCACATTACATTTTAAAAGCTTACCTTTGCAAGTATGGTGTAGTAGATACATTATATTTAATTAAGCAACTTCCCCTGGTTTCTGTATTGGGGGTTTTAACATCATTGGTTGGCTCTTTTTCACAATCTTGAAATAGCACATTTCTATGATGTTTATTCTCTGTTTCTGGTTTTCTTGGCTCTAAATTAACACCTGTATCTTCACACTTGATTTCTTGGACTTCTTCCTTGGTTGCACAAGCCTCAATATTTTTGCCTGTAGAAAATACATGTACGGGTTAAGCTTCTGGCCAGATTTTAAGAACAAAATCAGAAGACATTAAAGTTATTCCCAGTTGGCCAAATTTTCAAAATAAAAGAACGAAACTACCATCTCCTAACCATTACTTTTCCTAAGCAAATACTGCTGCTAGCCATTTAACAAATACTTACTATCTTGTATGTGTCGGGGATTATAGATACAAATGTAAGAATGAAATCATCCCTGTACCCTAAATGTAAGAGACACACTTGAACAAAGGTTTATTGAAACCCATAAAAAGGAACTAACTTTTTCTTGTGGTACAGGTAGATGGCTAGGGAAGGCTTCACAAGTAACACTGATGCTGGGTCTAGAAAAATGAGTACTTGACAAGACCGAGGAAGACAATCTTGGTATGAAGCATAAAAGAAAATTATCTATTAAGATAACATTAAAGAGCAGTGTGTTTAGAATATAGGGTAAGGAGCAAGGTGGGAGTGGGAGCAGGAGGTGATGAGCTCAGATAGGTAGGCAGGGGCTGGATTGTAATGAGCTTTATATATAAGAAATTTGGCAAAATATTCATCAGAAAGACAATTAGATTTGGTCAACGTAAAAGACTGTTTAGGATGGCAGGGAATGAAAAGTAACACTCTGATGGTAAGAAGACAAAATTGTTGTAATAGACAAAGGAAGTTAGTAAGAGGTCAGATAGGAAGAAAGGGTGCAAATGAGAAATATTTCTGAGTGAGAACTTAATGAACAAATGAATGCATGTCTGTGTCTGAATGAGTGTGCACATGTATTAGGAACATCTCTTCTAATATTTCTTGCTTAGGAGTCATTAACACGAGAGGAGGGTTTTTTCATTTTCTTTTTTGAGAGAAAGGGATGATGGGTATGGGGAAGCAGTGAGAGAAGACAAAAGAGTTCAAAATAAAACATCGTAGATGTGAAATACTTGTGAGACATCCTGGTAAATCTAATGAACTGAAAAGACCTCTGGATTTAATTATTAGCAAAATTATTAAAGATTTTTAATAAGATGTTTACTAAAATGATGTAACTATGGTTTTTTTAGTGAGCGGAAGTTGAAAAGAGCAGAGAAAGAATATGGATTTATTAATTCAACAAATATTTAAGTGCCTAATATATATCATGCATTACATTAGCACTGGAGATACAGTGGTCAGGAAGATCAGACACTGTCCTTGTCGACGTCAAGTTTATAGTGTAAAGACAAGACAAACAATAAAATAAGCAATCAAGTACATCAAATACTGCATAGGGAAAAAACAGGGAGCACAAATAGGTACATCTAAGCTAGGTTGCAGAGGGAGGGGAAGGTGTATCAGGGTAGTTATCAAGGAAGGCCACTCCAAGGAAGTAAGATTTGAATTGAAGTCTAAAGGGTAAGTGGCAATTAGGTTAAGAAAAAGTAGAAGACTAGCTTACAGAGTTCTGGAGGGAAAAGATAGTATAATCCCTTCTAGGAAATTAAAAAAAAGAAATTCAGGGATGTTGGGGAGAGGGAAAGTAATAAGAGAAGAGGCTAGAGTTAGGAATTAAAGCAGATGAATGACAGGGCATTTTGGCTGCAGTGTTGAGATGGACTGGAATGAAGCAACAGCAGAGAGGCAAGAAACTAAGTTTGGAAACTACTGCTGTAGTCCAGGTTAAGAGTTATAGGTCATCTTGGCTAAAGTAATGAGAGTAAGGTTGGAGAGAAGTGGATGGATTTTAAGAGATACTTAGGAAGTTAAACTGAATTTGATTGGCTAGGGAAAAGGGATTGGGAGGTAGGAAAGAGAGGAGTTAAAAAAAAAAAAAAAGGAAAGAAAAAAAATCACACCAAGATACTTACTGGCTTGGACACCTTGGCAGTACTACTCATTGAGACAAGGAACCAAAAGGAACAGGCTTAGGGAAAAATGGTCTGTTCAAGTTTGGATATTTGGGTTTGAGGTAGCTGAGAGATACCCAAGTGGTACTTATTTCTATTATTACTTGTCTTATATTTCCCACTTAAGTTCTCTTGCTGTTTACAAATAATTTTGATCTGTAAAACTGGTTTTATATCCAGCACTTATAATTATACATTTCAGAAAGCCAAGAGTTTATGGATAGCTTTTATTTTCCCCCATCTAACTAATGACTAACAAATACCCTATCTGCTAGAAAAAACTAGTGTTATTCTATTAGGGAAAAATAAGATACAGACAGTAACTTAATCAGATTAAATACTGGTTTTAATTTTCCACCTATCTTTACAGCCAGTAAGAATTATGAGGAAGAAGGCTTTTTTTAATGAAATTTTTATTTCCACTTTGCTGTCTTTTGTAAGAGACAGGATCAGGTGATTCTTAAAACTTTTCCTTCTATTTTTGGCATACTAGCCTTTCCTGAGTTTCTTTCCTCTCTCCCTGACCATTCCCTCTCAAGCTCCTTCAATAAATACTACTAGTAAGATCAGATCATATACATCTTCCATTTGTTCCCAAGTGGATATTAATAGTCACCATAAATTGAAATAATCCCAGTTGAACAAAGCATAACTGCCGACAGAAGCAGGACCTCCGGAACATAGCCATTAGCATATTAACCCCATTGAACAGGTTTGGTTTTTTTTTCTGGTAATAACAGATAACCAAAAACTTACAGAACACAATTTAGAATTCCAGTATGATCTTTGCTTTTATTTAAAGTATAGCCCTTGACCTAGAGCTCTACATTTTAAATTCATTTTGTGTACTAAAAATAAGGGTACACAGCTGGGTGCAGTGGTATGTGCCTGTAGTCCAGGCACTACTCAGCTACTCAGGAGGCTGAGGCAGGAGGATGGCTTGAGGCCAGGAGTTGTTCAAGGCTGCAGTGCCTGTGAATAGCCACTGTACTCCAGCCTGGGCAACAGAGAAAGACTGTCTTTAAAAAATAAAAAAAAAAAGAGTACTATAACTGCTCTGGAAAGCAATTTGACAGCATATATCATAAGCCTTAAAAAATTCTGTTTGACTTTTGTTAAAATTAATCAAAAGAAAATAACCAGATATAAGCGGACTGTATATAATATGCACTGAAATATTTGCTGACTAGGTGATACATAATGTTATACTAAAAAATTAGAAATAATTTTTCTAAACATGGGTACAAATTAGCTTACAATTATATGTTGATTTCCTCTCCTAAGTTAATTACTATTAATGGTTAAAATTTAACAAATTTACTATGTATATACAGACTATGATACTTGCTTTATAAACATTATTTCACTCTGTGGTCCCAATAATCCCCATTTTACAGATAAGCGGTTAATTTTTTGCCTGAGGTCATAGTAACTGGCACAACCTTCATTTGAATCTAGAAAATGTTCACACATTTTATATGACTGACAGTTAATGAATCTACTATCCAGCAAAGAGAATTCTTGAATGAGTTTTTTTTACAGCATGTAACAGATAATAGAATTTAATAGGTGAAAGGTCTTCAGAGATCATCCAGTCAAACTGCCTCATTTTTAAGACAGAATATTAAGGCCTAGAGAGGTAAATGACAAATTTGGGTTTTAAACCAGACCTCCTAATTAAAAATTCTTCATATTACATAAAGCCACTTATTTTAGAGGTAGGTCAACAGAAGTATGTACAAAGAAAGAACCAGTATATTTTTAAAGTTATTTATTCAGCAAAGAAACTTAATAAAATCACAATTCACTTGAAAACAAAAGAAACTAAAACTTACCAAAATTAACTTTTTCTTGACTCTTCATTGTTAGAATATCTACAATTGTCTGTCGCATCTCTTCAATAGGCTTAATTTTTTATAATGAAAAAAGCATAACTCATATAAGCTTTACATTCTCAGATATTAACTAGGTTGTCCAAGTTGAAAATATTAAAACCAATGATTAAAATTTCATACAGCATTTTAAAATAAGGCCATGGATCTTAAACCATGCTTCTCGGAACACTGATGGAATAAATATGAGCTTAAAGGATAGAATTTCACTGGTTTGAAAATTTCCTTCATAATTTTTCTTAAGCATTTGATAACTATTGCTGCTTGCCTGATATGAATAAAATTAATGAATAGATGGCAAACTAACATTATTAATATCTATTAAAGAGCTGGTTATATTAAGTTTACCAACTTTTCTCCTACATTGAAAGTCAATAGTTATATTTTGTTTCATGTTTTAAATGTATCTCTGAACAGCTTAAGGCTGATGTATTTCATTCATTCAAAAATTTACTGTGTCCATTATTTGCCAGATATTATAAGCACTTATTATGTTCCATTCAGTGTATTCAAGATATTATAAGGGAAGCTCTGGCTCACAGTCTTAGTTCCAGAACTTAGTCCTGAAATACTCAGCTACCCTTTCAATTTTCTTGGCTAAATTTTTTTTTTTTTTTAAGAACAGAGTCTTGCTATGTTTCCCAGATTGGACTTGAACTCCTGGGCTCAGGCGATCCTCCCACCTCAGCTTTCCAAGTAGCTGGGACTACAGGCATGTGCCACCGTGTCTGGCTGTCTTGGCTAATTTTGATTCTTGGTTTCCAGTTTCTCTTTTGGAGTTGTATCTTTCTCTTTACATTACTGCTTTCTATGTGAGCCTTGGCTCCAATTTTGCATCCTAGCTACACTGCAAATAAGCTGCCTTAAGTAATGTTCTTTCTGTGCCAATGTAGTAGAGACCTAACACTCCCTTCCAGGTAGCACTCTGTTAATCTAATTAACCTTCCAGAAAGAGTTTTACACACAATAGCCACTGAGAGACTATCTGCTGAATACAGGATTTTTGATTCAGGTGAAAAGGCAAATAGCATTTGTTGGATTTACTGAGACTAAAGTGAATAGACCTTTATTTTAAAAAGGCTAAATAGAGGAATTAAAAAAAGTTTTCTGGCCAGGCGTGGTGGCTCAAGCCTGTAATCCTAACACTCTGGGAGGCCGAGGCAGGTGGATTGTTTGAGCTCAGGAGTTCGAGACCAGCCTGAGCAAGAGCAAGACCCTGTCTCTACTAAAAATAGAAAGAAATTAATCGGACAACTAAAAATATATATATATAAAAAATTAGCCAGGCATGGTGGCGCGTGCCTGTAGTCCCAGCTAATCGGGAGGCTGAGGCAGGAGGATTGCTGGAGCCCAGGAGTTTGAGGTTGCTATGAGCTAGGCTGATGCCATGGCACTCTAGCCCAGGCAAGGGTGAGACTCTGTCTCAAAAAAAAAAGAAAAAAAAAAAGTTTTCTATGTAAACAATCTCCAAGAATGTGTTTCTGAGAAACTTGGTCAAAGGAAGTAAGTTTTAGCAACATTTATCCATAAAAACAGACAAAACCCAACCAAACAAAATTCTGGAGAAATGACTTATTCCATACCCAAAGCTTTGTATATCAAAAGACTAGAAAAGGTGAGAGAAGTATGGTATCACGCCACTATGGTGGTAATCATGTTAGAGAAATTAGTTTATTATCATTTATATGTAGGCAGGACCAACTTATAGTGTATACATTCAGGTATATGCCTAAAAAAGTGAAAGAGTTCTCTCACAAAACCATGAGAGTCTGATAACATTTAAAAGCTAATTTAATTCCATTTGTTTTATATTCAAAGAGTAAATTTTAATATTAAAAATTTAGTTTCCCAGGTAAATTTCCCAACTAGGAAGTGTACACAATGACACACTAAAATATTTCTCACAGAAAGTTTCATTAAATTTACATTTCAGCTTATATCTATTTCCTAAAGTCTGATTATCCCTGGTACAGGAGCAAAGTTTTAGAAGGCTAAGAAACAGCTTTTATAATGTAATTCTTGTGGTCTTTAAACATTCATTACTACTACATATACAACCATATTATCAAGTTACATTGTGATGTGGTCCAAAATAATTGTGAAATGTCTACACTGTAATAATAAAGATCAGCAAATTTTAATCTCACCTGAGCCCCTGCCAGAATGGCCTTCTCATAGATTGCAATAATATTTTCAATAGGACTTGTGATTGGTTCAGTACGTGCAAGACATATCCAATATTTAACAAGTTTTGTGGCATCTGGAATATTTTTAATCAGGTCATTCAGTGTAACCAGTATTTCTTCTTTTGGGCATCCCTACAACAGCAAGAAATAATGAGTGTGACATATTTTAGCCTACAAACTGTGAACAATAATTGGGTCTACTATAATGAAGATCAGTGATAAAGACAGAAAAGTTGATAGATATTCATAAAAACATTCAATATTATCATCCTCCTTACTCCAAACTTACTTTGAACAGCTAACAAGAAGCATATCAGCCATGAGCATAAGGCAGCAAAAATGAATGATTAGTTCGGATATTTATTAGCAAAAAATGACTAATGCTTTACTTGGTTTTGATATTTACCCTCTTATATAGTGTGAGATTCCATTTGTTAATACTTTCTACTAAACATTTATGAGTGAGGATAGTCTGCAGGGGTTTTTTTCCCCTTGTCTTGGTCAGGTTTTGATAGTAAGGTTGAAATGAATCTATAATGGTTTATATAAGAGTTATATATAGTTAAATAGCAGCAAAGAAAAATTCTATAGTATCAAAATAAAAAACCTCAATTGACCGGAAAAGAATAGATTCAGAGTTTTCATGATTGTAACTTTCACTGGTCCTCAGAACCACAAAAGGTTTAAAGACGCTCATGAAGAGTAGAGTAAGGTTTGAAATCATACCTTGCATTCAGTCTTGCTATGGATTTTAGATACTAGTGGGTGACCAAAATAAGATTAAAGAGTAGCAAGGAAATAAAGCAAATATTCTGGAGTTGATTATTATTACCTATGGGATTTTGGTCCAAATAGCAAAATTCTACTGAGGGGTGGGAACCTGCAGCCTTATTTTGAGATTGTTCTTTTTTGAGCACCAAAGGGGACAAGCTTCATCTTTCTCTGCTGCACCTCTTTAAATAAAAGGATTTGTTCTGTAAAATTTGGATTCAGTCAAAAGGCTGCAGTCAAGGATCCAGAAAGCCAGTGTGTCCCAAGGCTGCAGGGTCCCCACCCTTTGTAAAATATGTAATGAGTGGAAAAAAATTTGTGAATATATTGAATAAATGTAAGAAACATTAGATGTGAAAAAAATGTCCATCCCAGCCTATTCTATATTAACATGTTAGAGCAAAACAATATTTATAACTCAGGCAGAAAATCTAATTATCCCTTTGATACAGGTCGAATATCTCTAATCCGAAATGCTCCAAAATCCACAATCTTTTGAGTGTTGACATGACGATGAAGATGATGATGTTAACACTGCAGAAAAAGTGCCCATTGACAACATGGTGAAAATGTGTAATAGGCTTACTGAAGGACTAGAGCAGCATGCATTCATAACTGAACAATAAATCATGTCAGTTTGTAAAATCAAAAAGAGACTTCTAAGACAAAAACTATTGTTAATGAGGCAGATGACTGTGGAGGAAACATTTAGAAAACCCATCTAGCATAATGCCTCCTCAACCCTAGAGGACACAATTCCTGGTCCCACAACTGCTTCTGATGTTTCTTCTCATATAAAAAAATAAAGACAGTGTACGGTAACCTCTTAATCACAATATAGCATCAAAGAGACTGAAAGCCTGCCATTGTTTGTTATTGTCTAATAGCTGATACAGGTATTCTGGTAATGTTACTATGCTGCTTATTTACCCTGAACACATTTTTTTCACTGTTAATGGTATGTCCTATTTTTTACTGTTAAGTGTACTTATGTGTGATTAAGTGTGAGAAAATGATTGCTTATAGGTAGCATATAAATTCAGAGCCAGGAATAATGGCGATGCCAAACAACTACAGATTGTCCACATGGGTGGATGACAGTGACACCTTTGCTTTCTGATGGTTCAGTGTACACAAACTTTAACACACAAAATTAATTACCTTTAGGCTATGTGTAAAAGATGTATACAAAACATAAATGAATTTCGTGTTTAGACTTGGGTCACACATGTCCAAGATATCTCATTATGTATATGCAAATATTTTTAAATCCAAAAAAAATCCAAAATCACTTCTGCTCTCAAGCATTTTGGCTAAGGGATACTCAATCTGTATATTAATGTGAATTCAATGTAAAACGCAGTCAATTAAAAGCTAACAATCTCACAATGAATGAATGAAGCAGTGTATCTCACAATTAACTGATTGTGAAAATAATCTCACAATTAATGTTAAGTCAACATAATATCCCTTACATCACCTTGTCAAAAAGATTGACAATATAGTAAGATAATGTTTATGAAGGTAATTTGCAAACTATTAAGATGTTATACCAATATAAGATAATGACTCTACCTTATTAATCAGGTTTAGGCATTCAGAAAATGTGTTATTCACTTTATCAGTAAATAATCTTTGTTCATCTTCTTCTGCCATGGTAGTCCAGAAGGACCCAACTGGTTTTTCATTTTGTCCTTCAGGCTCACGCTGGGTAACCACTGAGTTAGGGGGCCTTTTCAGCACTCTTCCTTTGCCAGCTCTCCACTCACTAAGAAGAACTCTGCAGTTAGAAGCAACATATAAACATTACTTTGATATCGCTGATAGAACTGTCAAATAGAGGAAAAGTTAGAAAGTATTTCAGGTCTTTAAGTAGTTCTATACTAGTAGCATACACATAATTCACACTTGAAGTAAAAGAAAAATAAAACATACCCAGGCCAATTATATGCTCAAAGACCCCATAAATGCCTTTTTAAGTGGAGAGGTTATAAAATATTTCCCAATTATTATGAAGCACTTAATTTAGATTAATAAAAGCATCTGGCTGTGCATGGTGGCTCATGCTTATAAGCCCTGCACTCTGGGAGACCCAGGTGGGAGGATGACTTGAGCCCAGGAGTTGGAGGCTGCAGTGAGCTATTATTGTGCCACTCCAGCCAGAGCCAGAGAACAAGGCCCTATCTCTTAAAAACAAAACAACACAGCCTAATAAAACACACTTAAGCACAATAACTTTTAGATTATATTGTTCCACAATATAAATTTGCCTGCATATGACAGAAAAGAAACCATGAAAGAAAATTCTAATACATTCAAGGAAATTAACAAACCAAATCCACAAATAATACTCTATTGAAATTAAGGTAATAAAATGAAGAAAATATCTACTTACTTTCTCTGTTCTGAGGTTTCTTTGGGCTGAGCTGATCTGTTATTAACAGTTGCTTTTGCTATGGTATGTCTTCGCTGGTCAGTGAGTTTTGACTTTTCTGTCAGTTTGGTATTAGAAGATAAAGTAGGCCTGTCTACAATTTCAGATGCCATGCTTCTTGATAGTACCTTATTTCTTTTTATGTCCTGAGAAGAATTGGTTTTGACACTATATAAAATTGGTTTTGACTGTAATAATTCTTTTTCACGAGGCCCTTTCCAGATCGTAATGTTGCTAGAGGGTCTACTGATGCCTTGTTTCATGGAGTTCTGGGTATTATCATGGTGACTTCTAATAGGAGGTCGCCTAAGTTGTGTGTTCTGAGATGTAGTATGCACAAATTTAGTGATAGCAGTAATATTTGAGGGTCTGTCACTTTTCACTTTTATACTGCTGGTGTTTATAGGCTCAGGCTTGGTGGCTTTAAGGATAGTAGTTGAAAGTTTCTTTGTTTCTGCAGAACTCTCATCTTTGACTTGTAGAGGTTTTCTAAATGAATTAATCTTAGACTGAACAATTTGGCCACGATAAGATCCAAGCACAGGTTTCTTGGGCATGTTAGCATCTTGCTTTGATTTTTCTGTAGTCGTCTGTTTCTTTTTACTGTTGTTTTTAAGGTGAAATGCCTGGCTTAATGTCATATGTTGACTCTGGGGATCATCTTCATTTGGTAACAATTGCAGAGTTTTATTATTATCCTCACATTTATCTGTGTCAATTACTATAGTTGAATTAGCTAATTCATTAGAAGGTTTTAAAGGAATACAATTTTTTTCCACCATTGTATTATTTTTGCTTCCTGGAGGTCTATTGACATTTTCTTTATCAGCCTAATAAAAGAGTTATTTAAAACAAATCAGTATTTCAGAACTCACTTCTTTCAGAAAGAGTTTAGAAAAGGAAAAGGGGAAAAAGAGATAGGTTATGAGTGTTATGTCTACCTCTTACCATTTTTGTTTTAGATTTCAGAACTTTTGTCCCTTCTTGGACTTGATCCTCAGAAGTTGCTACTCTGTGGCTTCTACTACTTAAAAACATAAAATAAAATAATTAATTAATCCTGTACCAAGGTGGTTTCTTTTCTGGAAAGAAGAATAGGGAGTTATTAACAATTAACTGACCTCATAATTTTATATTTTAAATTTAATCAAGACCTGAGTTGAGATTTATTTGTCCTAAGCAAGACTTTTAATATTTTTTAATAGTGTAAACAAATGGCTAAGGACTTCAAAGATTTCTTAAAAGTCTTAACAATCTCTCCCCATAGAATGTGTAAATACTTGATAATCTTATTCCAAACCATTCCTCTCTAGTCACTCAAACAAGTCTTTGAAAAACATTTATTAATACCACCTTCTTGGGTTACTTTTAAGTACTTAGAAACAGACATACCACACTGAAAAATTTTTTGAAAGAGCCCTCCCAAAAGAAACCCAAAATTTACCATATACCATTCGCAGCTTAATCTACATTAGGATATATTTAGAATATGGACCTTAGTTTTTAGGTGGTATTGCATTTAGGCTATTTATCCAAAGCAAATGCTTCCTCAAGAATCTGACCTAAACTCATTTTTACAAGTATAAATCTGGCAAATACAGGCCCTGAGAATCTCTTAGCAGGTAATTGTAACAGTTTTGTGTACTATGAAGACAGGAAAAAATACTATCAATTAGACATGCCATTGATTCTAAGATAGATCCCAAGTTCAGAGATCATGTTAAAATGTGGAAAAAAAGTACATTTTATAATCAAGAAAATTTGGTACCTTCATAGTTAATAATTTTGGTTATATTGCCTTTCACATCTATTTGCTCAGTTAGCTTGGAGAAGGGGCAAAACTTTGACATGGCTTGTACTATATATATTTTGAATGATGGTGAAGAAGAATCAAAATGTGCCATTGAAGAACAGGTTATCTGGGTAGCTAACTGCTAGCTAAAAATTCTGGATGACAAGGAGAACCCATCGTACTCACCTGTCCAGTGTGGAGACTTAAATGAAAATATATAATCCTATTCTATCTTGTTATTCTAAAACTGCCCTCAGAAGGGTTATGTAAACAAACAAGTCTTAGCATATCTACACTTTAGAGATTGTGAAATACAACTGTTTAATTCTGAAAAGCTGCGACTCTGATTGGTTGTCTTATTTAATAATTTGTTGCTCAATAATGTTTTAGAATTTTTTCTTTCTATTATGTTTAAGAGTATTATAAACCCTTGACCCTGTAGGATTCCTTATTTAAATATGCAGTAGAGAGTTAATGACTTATTTGAATATTACATTTACTTACTCCCTAGTAATCTCATTCTATCCTAAGGTTTTAAATAAATATCTTTACACTAACAATTCCTGTTTATGTATCCAGCTCTAACCCCTCCCCTGAACTTCAGACACATAACTATTTGGCATATCTTGTTGGTACCTCAAACTTGAGTTAAAACAGAAATCCTGATACCCTGACTCTTCCCTCAGTCTTCCCCAATTCAATATGTGGTATCATCATCCACTTAGTTATTCAAACCAAAAACCTAGGATCATTTTTTTGTCTTAAACAAAGAAATATGAGATTTATTTGTGAAGGAGAAAATGTTTATTCTAAACTAAAGCTACTTATTAATGTAAAGTTAGAAATTATTTTTAAATTTTTATTTGAAAATAATTTCAAACTTATACAAAGTTGCAAAAATATAAATAGTTCAAAGAACATCCGTATTCTCTTTACTCATATCTGCCTACTGTTAACGTTTTATTCCATCTGCATTATCATTTGCACCCTTCAAATATGTGTATGGAGTATACACAATTTTTTACCCAAACCATTTAAAGGTAAGTAATAATACACCGTGGCTCTTTATCCCGAAATATTTCTTAAAAATAGGAACATTCTCTTACATAACCACAGTACAGTTATCAAATTCATAAATTTACCTGATACACTACTTTTAACCTACTGTCCACAATTTAGTTGCCAACTGACCTAACAATGTCCTTTATACCATTTCCTCCCTCCACTACAGGAGACAGTATAATGTCAGATATTGTATTTAGTTATCATGTCTCTTTAGCCTTCTTTAATCTGGAACATTCAGGATATTCTTTAACTCCATTCTTTCTTTTATATCCCATACCTAATCCATCACCAAGTCCTGTCAGCTCCATCTCCTAAAAATTAGCAGAATCTGACCACTTTCCCCTATAAGAAAGGGTATCAAACATTCATAAAGGCAAAATATATCAATAAATAAAGTACCTAACATAAAGAAGTGCAGATGAAAGTGAGACTTTTTTTAACCTGTGAGGATGGCAATGATGCCGAAAGAAAATTAAGGAAACCAGGAGAATAAACTATTCCAAGAATCAGTCCACTATACCTAAGGCCACTGAGAGATTATTAAAAAATACTTCCACTTACTGGGCTCTCACTATATACCAAGCATAACACAACGCATTCACTATCTCATTTAATCCTCGAGAAACATGCATTACTAACCCATTGTATTATAAGTAAACAGACTCAAAGACAGCAAGTAACTTGCCTGAGGTTACACAGCTATAGTAGGCGACTTAGAGATTTCAGCCCAGGTCCTTATTCTTAGATGCAAAAAGCCTAGAAGTATGTTAGTAGTTGTTATCTGTAAAGTGAGGGGACCTTTTGACTTTCTGCTTCATCTACTTTCATGGGTTTTTGTTTTTGCTACAACTATGTACCATTTAAAAAATTTTAACAATATAATACAAAGATATTTCTATAGAGGGTTGAGACTAAAACAAATAATCTCCAAATCTCCAAGCATTTGGGGAGAGCCACTCACGCCTTCCCTGAATAAAAACTCCCCATACATTTGAGTAAAAGCCTTGCTAAATTATATAAACACTGATCGTTGTAGCACTGTGTAAATCATAAGTCAATAATCTGGTCTGTATACACACTTTGCTTTCAAATTGTTTTCTCTTAAATTATGAATTTCTACAGAAAGCCATCATCTAATGCTGCACCATCCAATTAAGTAGCCACTAGCTAAATGTGGCTATTAAGTATTTTAAAGTGGATACTCCAAACTGAGATATGCTGAAAGTGTAAAATATATACCAGATCTTGAAGATGTTGTACCAAAAAACGATGTAAAATAGCTCAGTACTTTTTAATATTACATGTTGAAATAATATTACTGGGGATATATGGGTTTAAATGTTATTAAATTTCATCTTTAAAAAAATGTTCTAAGTGTGGCTACTAGAAAATTTTAAATTACAGAGGTGGCTCACATTACATTTTTACTGGACAGCTCTGATACAATTTTACAGAACTGAAAAGAAATAAACTTGACCTCACCGAGGTATCTGATTTTCCTGTTTGTATGCAAACAATGTTTTTCTTCTTAACAGATGTTCCTTGAGTTTTTGTCTTCTTTGCTCTAAATAACATAAGGAAAGAGCTACAAGTCAACACAAGTTAAAACATCAAATAACAGCAACTGAATATTGTTGATTATATGAAGATTTTACTGTTCCATTTGAGATCACATCTTCTAGATAACAGAAAATTTCCCAATTCCATATTGCCTCTGAGAAATAATCCCATTAATAAGACATTGTTACCATAAAAGGTCCCCACCACCATTCTGCATAAGAATCACATTCTCGACTGTGAAAAATCTGAAGATCATTTTCAGCATACAGTTACTGAAAGCCAAGCTTTAAGAAACTAAATGGTAGAGATGAGAAACTCTAGACTCCCAAGTTCTAATTTACCACAGTTGGGTTAGGCGAGAATTTCTTTCTTCTGTTTTCCCACGTGTAGAACAAAGGAATACTGAAAACTCATCCAACCCTAGGTTTCCACAGAGTCCAAGGCGAAGGTGTGAAATTGGAAACATCAGATCAGCCAATCCCACCCGCCCAAGAAATTTGCTCCGGATCCAGGAGGCGGGAGGGCGCGGCGCAGGCGCAGTCGGCCTGGGCGCTCGCGCAGCCGCGCCCCCGCGGAGCCCGGACCCCATGGCGAGTCCGAGCCAAAGCCCAACGCCTGGCCCCTGCTAAGAGGATTCCTCCGCAGGAGGTCTTTCTCCGCAGCCGCAGGCACTGCTCTTATGACCCGTTCCACAGATGCCAAGAACGCGACTGGACTAGGCCGAACGGCCCATTTAGGGCTCTCCCACAATCGGTTAGGGGTGCAGATGGTCAGCGCACCGGAGGCCCTGGCCGCTGGGCCCATGTCCACGCGCGCCGGGTACCCTCAAGCAAACAGGCAGCTCGCGCTGCTTCCGCCACCGCGGCCCTCACCTTCGAACGCGGGCTGGGCCCTTTGACTCGGGGGCAGCTGCAGGTCTTGGGGCACGGCCGGGGTGCTCATCGCAGCCGGGGAACGGAGCATGTGTCTCCCCTTTGACCACCTCAAACTCCTTCGCAGTTCTGCGGCAGAGACTACAGACGCCGGTTCGGCTCGGGCTCAGACGGCGCGGCGACGCCTCCGCCCATTGGTGCCTGCATGAATTGAATGGGCCAATGGGCGCGGGGGGGGCGGAGCCTGGACTGCCGTTGCTGGGGGCGTGCCTGGCGTCTGCCCTGTTCGGTTGGGGCTAAGTCTACAGGTTTCAAATCTAAATAACGTTCTTCATCCTAGACTCGGGATGAGTCGGCCTCCTAAGTCCCCAGGGTGTAGCGGGACTAGGTTGTCAAAGATCCAAGATAGGACACATTTTCAGACCTTCACAGTCCATTGAGAAGGCAGACGAGAAAAAGACAAAGTATTGGTTGGCTGCACTTCTTACTAGACATCAGCTTGTTCACTGAGGACATAAACACGTACCAAAAGCATGTGGATTTCCCTTTCGCAAATATTCCTTCATTTTGAGCATCATAACTCTGAAGTGGGAGGTTATCATCTCTTGTTTCACTGATGAGGTGACAGGCTTTGAAGTTATTTGTCCATGTTTGTAAAGGGGAACTGAAATTGAGGATCTACTTTCCATTCCTTTATGCTACGCAATTATCAGATGCAAAAAAGGGAGGAAAGAAGGAGAACCGGGTAAAATGAGAATAGAACCCACCCTCTCCCCAAGGTTATATATAATCCTCCTGTGAAGATAAAATAACATTTGTTGTAGACTCTGTGCGTTTGTGCTGCCGTCTTTCAGTCCTCCTCTTTCAGTCTTTCAGTCCTTCTGTTCTAAAAATATCACCTTCATGCAACCCACAGGAACACCCAATACACAGGAACTAAACAATTCAGAGCTGGAAGGTCCTAGGGGTGAGAATGGGGAAGTTAGGGGATAATCTGGACTATGCCTTCCTGGTTTTAAGCACTCGGTTCACATTTCTCTCTTTTGCCTGATCACTGCAGTAAGGCTGGACTGAACTCTGTTCTAGCCAGGTTTTAAGTGTGGGGACAGAAGCAGGAGGATGTGATTTTCCCCTGTCTCCCTCTCCCAGGTCTGATAGTCAGTTTTTCCCACTTTTGTCTCCTTTTCTTCAGACATCCTATGGTTGCTTCTTGTTAATGAAGAATTTGGTTTGGAATTTTCAATAGTTTTTTACTTGATGAAATGTCCCCTTTTTAGCATAACTTTGCCTACACTTATGGCTATCTCTAGGAGAATCAACAGCCAAACAGTGCCCATCACCATCCTTAAGACATCACTGCTGTTTACATACTGCTGTCACTACTGTTGATGATTTCCTAAATTTCACCAGATTGGGTAACCAGGGACTCCCATTAAGTGGTGGAGAACAGTTTAAAAAAATAGAACAGTTGACAAGTGATTCAAGAAACTCCAAAACATTATGCTAAGTGAAAGACAGGTACAAAAGGTCACGTATGGTATGAGTCCATTCATATGAAATACCCAGAATAGAGAAATCCATAGAGAAATAACACAGGTTGGTCGTTGCCAGAGGGTGGTGGTAGGGGAACCTGGGGAAAGACTGCTTAACAGGGAAGGGGTATTACTTTGGAGTAATGGAAATGTTTTTGAATTAAATAGAGGTAGTAATTGTGTGACATTGTAAATGTATTAATGCCACTGAGCTGTTCACTTTAAAACAGTTGATTTTATGTTATGTGAATTTCACCTAATAATTTTTTTAAGTGGGCATGGCAAAAAAGAAAGTGACTCAAAGGATACCATGGAGATCTCAATAGGCTGAGATGGTGAGTAGGAAAACCTGCAAAACTGCTAGATTTTCCCATATGGCAATTCTCTCCTAATCTCCAGACTCACCCACTTCAAGGACGGTATATTTTTTGAGACACTTTTTTATATCAGCATCCCACAATTGTTGGAAGTGAGGCAGACTCTTTTCTAAAACATCCAAAGACTTCCTTCCAGAACAGATCTTTGCCAACATAGCTGATCATAAACTGTAGGCACCTGGAGTATCGGTGATTAGCTTCAGTTGTTCCTCCTGTGGTCATGAGAAGCAGGAACAGTACCTGTGAGAGAACAGGGTAGGACAATCCAAAGGATAGAAGGACAATGATGACCGGGTGATGGCACAAAGTCCAGGGAAGAGAAAGGCGGAAGAAAGAGGGAACTGACCACAGTGTTGGGTGCTGCAGAAGTCTAGTAGGATTGGAACTGAAAAGAATCATTGGATTCATAAGGTAGAAGGTTCTGGTAAAAACATTCTGTGGAAAAGTACAAAATAGTGCTGAGAAAAATTAAACCCTAAATAAATGGAGAGATATAACATGCTCATGGATCAGAAGATCCTATATCGTTAAGATGTCCATTTTCTCCAAGTTAATCTGTCCGATCCCATCTCTGTCAAAATCCTAGAAGATTTTTCTATAGAAATTGAAAAGTTCTAAAACTTGAATGGAAATATAAAGGATCTAGAGTAGGTAAAACAATTTTGAAACAGAACAAAGTTGGAGGACTAACACTACCTGATTTCAAGATTCGTAAAGCAACAGCAATAAAGACAGTGTGCTATTGGTGTAAAGTAAAATCAATGAAATACAACAGAGATTCCAAAAATGTAATCAAGCCTATCTGGCCAATTGATTTTTACAGAAAACCTCTGTCAGGGTAAACTGTTGAAAAAAAAAAAGAAAAAAGGGGACGGGTATATGCATACACAAAGAGTGCAATGCGCACCACCCGAAGGATGGACATATTTGAAACTCGGACTTGGGGGGAAGGGGGGGAAGGGCAACATATGTAACCTAAACATCTGTACCCCTATAATACGCTGAAATAAAAAGAAAAAAAAAAGAAAAAAAACCCAACAACCTCAAAACGAAGCATAGACCTAAATGTAAGAACCCAAACTATGAAACTTCCAAATGAAAACATAGGAGAAAAATCTTAGTGACTTTGTGTTAGGCAAAAATTTCTTAAACAGGAGACAAAAAACATGAACCCTAAAGGAAAAAATACCTGGACGTCATCAAAATGAAAATCTTTTGTTCTTCAAAAGATAACTGTTTATAAAACCAAATAAATCCTGTTGGTTCTGTTTCTCTGGAATACCCTGAGAATACACATCCCTTGTTCTCCTCTTTGGATGGATCACTCAGACCAGTGCTCCAGCCTCCATTCTCATTTCTTGGCATATCTAAGACATGTGACATTTCTCCTGGCTCCAGCCTGGAAATAGGAAACTCTTGTACAGTTGTCTATCCCACCAGCTATCATATGTCAGTCTTCTTATTTGTGTACTACAGACTGTCTGCTCCTCAGGGGCAAAAAACATAACCTCGTTTTCATGTCCCCACTGCCTAGCATTTTGATCATTGCAAAGCCCAGGCAAAAATGCACATTTCCACATCTGATTAGGACACTTAGTCACATGCTACTTTCAATATGAGGAAAAAAGCCTAAAAAGTTATAAACAATCTAATGCTCAAAAATCAAGAAATGACAGTATTGTGATATACAATGATGGTATATCACAACTAACAAAATGTTTTCAAAGAACTTTTAGTTATATGGGCATAAGGTGCTTTAAATTGAAAAATATGAAATACAGAACAAACAGTTTAGAAATAGACCAAAATACATACAGAATTGTAGAACAGGGCAATTCAATTCAGTGGGGAAGAGATGGCTTATATTCATTAGAAAGAGCCTTGCCTTTCTTGTAGAGCCTGGCAACAGACCACTGACTCCATGACTATGGTGGATGTGGAGCCCTGGGAGCAGAGAATGAGCCTGCCATTTGCCCTCTGCCCACGTGGGCAGGCAGCTTTGGACCTGAAAGACTGGGATTAGGAGAGGTGAGAGAGGCACTCTGCTTACCCTGATCCTGGCCTTTGTTTAAAGTGGATATTTTGTTTATCGTGGATTTTTTGCATTAATTTTGATTTTTAAATGATTTAAAATATCATTTCTCTTGACGACTGAGTTTTTTGGTGGCCTCTTAAATTTTGCAACTGGGAGGAGTGCCTCACTTGCCTTACCCTAGAGTCCCAGCTTGGCCCAATTGGGAGAAACCAGCTGTTTCTCTTGCCAGCAGCATTGGAGAAGAGTTGAAATACCCACAACAGTGCTGGACATATAGTAAGTGCTAGTAAATATTTCTTGAATATTTGTTGAATGGGTGAGTAGGCTGAGACTAAGAGGCCTCTCTTGATATGACTCAGAAGAGAGGTTTTCAACTTACTGACCCAATCACCTCTGGTCCTCTGAACAAAAACACCTACCAGTCCTTGCCATGTAAGCCCCTGATAGGCTGACCTGCACAGGTGTTGGTGGATCTCACATACACTGACACGTAAAGGCAAAAGTGATCTTAAGCCACTTATGGAAACAGTAGCTCAAAGGGGAAGGACCAAGATGAACCAGAATAGAGGGCTACTATGGAGTGCAGAGGGCTTCTATGGAATGTAATAGAAGAAAACGATATTAAAAATGTAATGAGAACTCTCAAGCAGATGCAATTAGAACATTCAAAAACATTTTCCTAATTTAAAAATCCAAATAGAAGAATTGGAAAAGTGAATGGTCACTCCTAAAAGAAAACAAAATTCAGTCTAAAAATATACAGAAATGAGCATCATGAGGGAAAAGGTAAAAGCACGGGAAACAGACTGCTGGGCTTATTAATCAACAAATAATAAGGTCTCAAGGGGCAAAAAGAGACCAGAATAATCAAATACATGATAGAGGAACACTTTTCTGAAGGGAAAAAAAACCTTGAATCTTCAAAATAAAAAGCTTCACCAACCCACAGGCAGAACATCAAAAAAGAATACGCACCTCTTGCACCCGGTGAAATGTCTGAACCTCAAGGATGAGGTGAAAATCTTACAGGTGCCTGGCAGAAAGAACAGGTCTCTCAGAAAGGAAGAGGAGTCTAGCACCAGGCCTGCTTACGCACTTCCCTCTCCCTGCTCTCAATCCATCCCTTGGCAATGCCTAATGATGCCTGATTAAATCTGCCTCTTCCGTGCTCCCTGCTGCTGAGTGGGCTGGAGAAACCCCACCCCGGTTTCACTTTACATGCATGTCAGGGAACCTCCAGTGGGCCAGGCAATCTTACCTTCCCTACTGCATCCGTACCTCCTCTCTCTCAGCCTTGCTTCCTCCTCTGAGTAACTGAAACAACCCAGAATCTTTGCAGGTTCCCAGCACAGTATCTACCCACCTCTGCACACCTGCACTCTCATACTCCTTCTTCCTCCACCATTAAGAAACATTTCTGACGCTCTTTTGTGAGTTCCCTCTCCCTTATTCAAGGACATTGCTGGCACAAGTCTCCCTTCTCTCATACATCAATTTTCTGCCCTCAATCATTGCCATCAGCACTCAAACATACTGTTATTTCTTTCACCTTAAAAACAAACAAATCAAACTTCCTCTTTACCCCACTTCTCCTTCCTATTACCAACCAATTCTTTGTTCTTCTTTGCAGCAAAATTCCTCAAAGAGTTGTCTATACTCCTCGTCTACAATTCCTCTCTTCCTTTTCTCTTTTGGAACCACTCCAATAAGATTTTCTATTCCTGAATTCCACTGGGCCCACTGTTGTTAAGGTCACCAATAACTCCACGTGGTTAAAAACAGCAATCAATTCTTGCTCCCGATAGCACTTGACATATCAAGAGATATTTTCCTTTTCTCCTCCCTGATACACTTTCTTCACTTGGCTTCCAGGACACCACACCCTCCTGGTGTCTTGCTGACTCAGTGGCGGCTATATCTTAGTCTCCCTGGATCTCTTCTTATGACCTGTGTTAATTTGGTCTAAAGTAATATTCCTATGCTCTTAAATGGAGGCTGTCCAACTTTCATACATTGTTAGCCATTCTTTAGGATAATGATTTTCTTTTGATTAAAAGTTATAGAGAAATATCGCAGTGAGAAAACAGTAGTGAGAAAAAAAGAAACAAAATTAAAATAACTGTCAAGCAGCAAAAATTAACAAAAATGATAACGACTATTTAACCGGGGCTACCTGGCCTGGGGAAAGACCAATTTTCTGGTGACCCTGCATCCTGGTTAAGTCAGTCACCAATATCTGGTTGCCTTTCTAAAATGTGTTACTACCCTTTAAAACAGTAATTCTATTTTGGGAAAACACGCTAAGAAAATAATCCTAAAAATATATATATATGTCAGTTGTAGAAGGACAAATATAAGTGCTGCATTTATAAGGCAAAATATATAAATACAATGAAAGGGCCAGTGTTGGTGGCCTGGCTGGTGTGAGCAGTGGCCATGGACAGGTTCGCGCGGACCAACAAACAGCTAAACTATGGAAGATTTACATATTGAAACATTTTCTAAAGTAAATTCATGAGGCCTATATTAACATTATAAATGTTTAAATAATTTTGTTTTTGGAGACAGGTTCGGGGGGATGGGGAAGTCTTTATGTTGCCTAGGCTGGCCCCCCAACTCCTGGTCTCAAGCGATCCTCCCGCCTCAGCCTCCTGAGTAGCTGGGATTAGAGGCACATGCCACCGCGCCTAGCTAAATAAAAATAATCTTAAGGGGGAAAAAGAGTAGCACAACGTAGTACTTAACGTACTGCCTATAGCTCTATAAAAACAATTTGTACCATAAATATTCATTTGAAAAAAAGGTTATTATCATAAAGTTTATTGCCTTTCATGAGCATGGCAACATGTTGGGCAGTGACAAGAAAACTGCCACAAATATGCAGGCATTATGCACAGTAACGAAATCCAAGCTTTGCTGTGGGTTCCCTTCACGTCCCTTCTAAACTTTGGTTTAGGATGGGGTGCACCGCCTGCCAATCAAGGGTTCCAAAAGGCCGTGCGCGGACGGAACGCCCGGGGGCGCTCCATGAACGCCTCCACCCGGGCTCACCTCGGCAGGGCCAACGCTCCGGGCCCTCCCGAGCGCTCTCCGCTCCTTTCCTCCCTCCCGGCCGGCCTCCGCCCCGCCCGCCGCCAGGGGGCGCCGCAGGCTGCCCGGCGCGCGGCGCGCGGCTCGCGGCCCGGGAACGCCGGCGCGAGGGAGCGGGTGAGCGGTGGAGGCCGGCCTGGCGGCGGCCATGGACCGCTTCGTGTGGACCAGCGGCCTCCTGGAAATCAACGAGACCCTGGTGATCCAGCAGCGCGGGGTGCGCATCTACGACGGCGAGGAGAAGGTAGGGCAGCACCCCGCCCCCCGGCCGGCCCTCCCGAGGGGCTGGCGGAAGCGGAAGGGGCTCTGGTGGGCGCGTGTCCCGGCTCGGCCCGGCCTCGCTTTGGGCCCTCAGCTCCGGGGCCGGCCTCTGTGTGCCGAGCGTCGCGCTCGGTCCCCTCCCCGCCGGCCGGTCGCCAGTGGCCTGGGGCGCCCGGGCGTCTCCCCCGCGCCGTCCGCGCCCGCTGAGCCTACCGCGACGTGCCCAACTTTGGAGCGGTTCCCAGCAGGCGCGGATTGGGGCCACTTCCCTCCGCACCCCGAAATTCTGAAGGGGACACAGCCGGGGTGCGCCTGGGAGAAGGCTTGCTGTCCGTCTGCAGGCGGCGGGGTGGCGATAAGGACAGCTGAGTTTTTTGGCGTGGTTTCAGAACCTTTAATGACACTGGCTCTCAGGCGCAATCACTGGGACAGCCCAGTTCCGCCTTTTTGTTGGGAACGAGCTGTGTTTCTGCGTTCCCTGACCCTGCGGTAGCTTTGGCCTGACCTTATGGGAGTCGGAGGGATTGTCTGGCTGCTCTGGGATAAGAGATGAGATTGCTTTGAAAGGATTTCCGAAAGAGGTAGCTGTGTCTTCCTCATTGGAATGTCCTTGCCTTATTCTCTGGGGGTTTTTTGGTTGTTTCTTTTTTTGGTAATTTCTTTAAAAAGGAGTTTTGAGCGTGTTTTGTAAAGTGATGTGTTACAGTAGGCCACGCCTTGTAAGACAAGCACAAATCTTAGGAGATGGGTTTGCAAATTGAGAAGTATGAAATGTAAACGTTTTGTGGATACTTGGTGAAAGTACAAAATATCCATCTTGGATTGAAATGGGTAAACTGGAATTAGAAAAAATTTAAAACTCATTTACCCACAAGCATTTTTAGTTTCCAGAAGTTTTTACTTATTACCTCTGCTTCCTTGCCGTTTTGTTAAGGAACTTCCCTCTGTATACATTTCCTGGTCCGTGCTTACAGCTACCTGGAGGCACAGGTGGCATTGGATCGGGTCCCCTGACTCTCTTGGGGGCATTTCCCATGCCTCTATTATTGAATCAAGGTGTTTCCTTAAATAATTTGCTTGAACTTACTTCATTGAATGCCTTAACACTTTTATTACCTTGATCTCAAATTGGGTCTTGAATCTTTTTTTTTTTGAGACAAGTTCTTGCTCTGTCGCCCAGGCTAGAGTGCAATGGTGTCATCATTGCTCACTGCAGCCTCAAACTCCTGGGCTCAAGCCATCCTCCTGCCTCAGCCTCCGAAGTAGCTGGGACTACAGGCATGTGCCACCACACCCAGTTAATTTTTTAATTTTTTTTGTAGATCCAGGATATCTCTCTGTTGCCCAGGCTGGGTCTTGCATCTTTTGATTGGTGCAACAAACTAATTTTTTTTTCTTTCTTATGAAGTTTATATCTTTGGAACTGTTTTAAATGGGAAGTTTAGTTGACCTCCCCTCCCTCAGCTGGTTTGATTTTGCCCCCACTCTGAGAGGAACTAAACATCAACAATGACAGATCTGTCCTCAAAGATTCCACCAATACTGCTCCCTGGAAGTCATGCTTTTGCAGAGCATGGCACTCTATTGTTCCATGGAACTCCAACATATAGATTAGGAACACCTTTGCTGGCAGACAACATAGCTATGATATAGACCAGTGCTTTAACCCCTAAGCTATGGAGCCAGCTATGATGTATTTAAAACAATGTAAAATCACAACCATTAACCAACAAATTCTACTTTTTCCTTTAAAACTTTTGCTGCTTGTTTTATCAGACAAGTATATAGATGTCAGAGGCTTAAGAAAAAAATCATGGGAAAAAATTAGCCCCTTTGATCTAGTCAAAAATTCTTAAGTTTCCTAAAAGCTTGAAATTGGAGTGGAGCTCTAAGAGCTCCTCCTCACCACTGTGCCCAGGGCAGGTCCTACAAAATTCCCAGCTCGCTGAGCTGTCTGCAGCTACTTGGTTCCTGGACTGAGTGAGGCCAGACTGATTCCTGGGGGAAGGTGCTGTGTCCTGGCTTCCTCCATCTGCTAGGTGGCTTCCAGAGTTCGTGTGGTGCTGGAGACTCTAGGAGGCTGCACGTCAGCCTCCAGACCTGATTGAGTTAGTCTCCCATTCAGAATCCCTCACTGGCATGCTCAATCTGGGGACTGCAGTCCAGACTGATCAGCCTTCATAGCAGCCTCCACAGGTTCCCCAGGCAAGCGTGCACATGGCTGTCTTCTAGACCAGTTAGATGCTCCTGGAGGGTGGAGAGTGTGCCTTACTCGTCCTTGTATCTTCTGGGTTGTTGTGGATGTGAGACACATTTGAAAAAACCCGAATAATTAAAATGCCTACTGTGTGCCAGGAGCTGTATATATGATCTCATTTAATCCTCTCAACAGAAATGTGAGGTATTTTACTGAATGAGAAAATAATGCTCAGAGATACAGTGACTTGCCTAAGATCCACAGAGGGAGATAGTATTTAAATCTCCATCGCGCGGACTCCCAAAGCCTGTGCTTTGTTGCTGGTGCTCAGCACTTCAAATATAGTGGTCACCAGTGCCACTCTTGATGAAATGCTAAATATAGCTAATCCTCCTGAGGATAAGAAAACTGAGACCCACCGTTGAACATTAAGAAAACTGTGAGCTGTCCAAGGTCGCACAACCAGTAATGGTGGAGCTAGAAATCCAAACCAGATCAATGGACTGTGCTCTTTCCAGTGCCCAAGTGCCTCTCATGAATAAATGAATGTTTGCTTGTTTATACAGGCACGGTTTTCATGGCCCCATGATGACGGGATAATGTGTTGTTTTCTTAAGTAAGGTAGACAGGTCATTTGTTTGAATTCACAGACGCTTCCATAGCTTCAGCTAACTTAAAAAATAATGTAAGAAGGTTAGTAATGTGTAAAGTGTCGAGTTGGCACCATATACCAGAAGATTTAGAAAATGCTTATTCTCTTCCAGCTAACTATTTCACTTTTAGGAATTTACCCCTGGGAAATAATCAGAGGTGCATAAAGATATTGCGTATAAGAATGCTTATCTCAGCATTCTTATATATTATATCTAATATTATTATGTATAGGGGAAAATTGGAAGTAATCTGAATGTCCACCATAGAAATTGGTAATTATTAATAAATTATGGCATGCCCTAATTAGCATGAGGAATTGCTAAAGATAGGCTGCTAACTATATTTTATAACTGTTTATAGTTATAAAACTATAAATATTTTGTTTAAAGATTATGCATGTATGTGTGTATATAGAAACACACACTCTTGCTGCTGTGATTATGAGTGATTTCATTTTCTTTTTCAGACTTTTCTTTAAATATTTTCCAGATTTTTAACAATGAACATGTATTACTTTTACAACAGAAAAAAATGTAAATAAAAAAACATGGTGAGAGCTTTTCAGTGAGTGCCTTAGATCAACTTTTAAGTAGTTAAAATTATTCTAGCTCTGAGTAGTAGAAGCAAACCAGCCTAAACTTGTTTATCAGCTTTAGATCATAATCCGTTGAAATCCCTGAAGGAAACTATTACCCAATTTCTTCACTTAGAGTAGCAACATTTTACATTTGCACATTGTTAATTGATGTAGCTATGGAACATATTCTGGCCTGAGCTTTAAATTAACATCCATATGCTTGGATTTCAATAAGAGAAAATGCAAAGTTTCTTAATTGGAACTATCATGTTCTAAAACAGCATCATGTACTCTCAAGTTAATAAAGTATTTGCTTTTGGAAAAGGGAAGTTTACTCACTGGCAAAAAAGAGATTTAAAAAATATCTTAAACTCAGTTATTTGGTTTTGCATAAATGAGATTAACCAAAACATTTGAAGCCAGACTGTATCAAGTGCTATGAGTACCTACGTTTTGCTTCTGATTCAGAGGAAAACATGGAACTCACAGGGTCTCTTCTCTGATGTGTTGAAGCGTCTTAGTAGAACAGTCTTTCACAAAGTGTACTTAGACTAAATGGTTCTTTGGGCCTCTTATCCTTAAAGTTGATAAACCATATCAGTATTTAATACTTAATAATATTAAAATATTAATAATACAGTCAGACCTTACTCTTAGAAAACACTTTTTAAAAATATATGTCTAAAAGTGTGTTGGTTATTTATTAAACAAAGATTTGTTTGACACATGTTCCTGTGTGTACTTGCTTTAACAAAAAATAATATATACATTTCAGAATTACATGAAGTTATATATGCTTGTGACAAATTTCTTCTTATTTTATTAGATAATAAAGTTGTTAAATATGGATAAGCCAAAAGAAGAAACTTGAAATAATCAGGAATCCTACTCCCCCTAAACAATTACCTTTGACATAGTCTTGGTGTGCGTAATTATGCTATATATACTGTTTTGAAACTTCGATTTTTCCTACTGTATATTAATATCATGAGCCTCTTGTATTGTCAACTGCACACATACTTTATGATTATTTTTATTTAAGAATGATATATAATAATACTCCAGTTGGTTATTTACTTGACAAACATTTTTAACCACATTATTTTAAACTCAAAAGAATTTCATTATTATTTTTAATAAACTGGACCCTCACTCAATTGCTTTCCTTAGAGTTTGTGTTGTAAATGGGACCAGTCTTGTAACTTTTAAAATAACTGAATATTCCTGGAAAGGATACAAGCAAGTCCTACTTACTGCAAATTCTACTCTCTGGTAATTAGAGTTAATAGAAACTTCTGATATATTTCATGCTTTTAACAGAAATGAAGGGGTTTAATTCATTAATCTCTTGGATTCCAACTCTAAAGTTTGCTTATTTATGTAATTTTCAGGACATCATAACAAATCATGAGAGTTAAAAGATTTGGTTCTGAAGACCTAGCTGGCATTTTTTTGTGACTGTATTGTAGTTTTAAAAAACATTCTTAAATTTATAGTTTGAATAGGTGATACAGTTCCCAAACCCCAAAGAGTATATCTTAGCTCAGCCGTTAGGACAAATGCTCTAGCCTGGACAGCTTAAAAAACAGGCATTTATTTCTCATAGTCTTGGAGGCTGGGAAGTCCAAGATCAAAGCTGCAGATTTGGTTCTTGGTGAGGGGCCTCTTCCTGGCTTGCAGATGGCTGCCATTTCTCTGTGTGCTCACATGGTCTTTTCTCAGTGCGTGCTAATGGAGGGAAAGCCTTCATGCCTCTTCCTCTTCTTATGAGGATACTAATCCCATCATGAGGACCCCACCTCACTACCTCATCTAAACCTGATCACCTCCCAAAAGCCCCATCTCCAAATGCCATCACATTGGAGGTCTAGGCTTCAACATATGAATTTAAGGGGGGACACTAACATACAGTCCATAATGGAGTATAAAATCTTCCCATGCTTGCCTCTTCATCATCCAGTTCTTCCTCAGAGGCCACTAGTGAGAAAGCTATGTATCTGTGTCATATGTAGGTATTTGTGTGAAATATATTGTTTTTTCCTTTTTAAAATATAAATTTGTAATATGCTCTGCATACTGTTCTGAACCTGCTTTTTTCAGCTAATAATGTATCTGGAGAATATACCATATTTCATCAATTCTAAGCATACTTTTTTCCTCCCCACATTTTAACAATTTTGAAATCAGGAAATCACTGGTATCTCAGAGTTTATCAAATACAGTATAAATACATAAAGATTCTCCATACTCTTTTTAATGACTGCCCAGTAATCCAGGGCATGGGTGTACATTTCGCTGTTGATGGACATTTGAATTGGTTCCTGTCTTTAGCTTTTACAAACAGCAATGAATAACCCAGTACTATATCATCTTGCATGTGTGAATTTATCTTTGGGATAAATTCCTGGAAGTGCCAAGTACCCTTGGTTCAAAGGATGTGTGTATTTGTAATTTTGATAGATATTAACAAATAGCCCTCTACAGAATTTGTCCCTTCAACAATGGATAAGAATGCCTGTTTTCCCAGCCTCACCAGCACAATGTTATCAAACTTTTGGACCTCTGCCAATCTTGTAGATGAAAAGGGGTATCTTAATGTTCTCTTAATTGGTTTTCTCTTACTGTTAGGGAGGTCAGACATCTATTAACGTGTTTGAATCAACTGTAGTTCCTTTTCTGTGAGCTTTCTGTGCATAGTCTTTGTCCATTTCTCTAGTGGATTATAGGCTGTTTTCTCACTGATTTGTGAGAGTGCTTTATATATTAAGGAAATTAGCCCTTTATTGCTGATGTAAGTTGCATTTATTTTTCTCCGTCTGCCATCTATCTTTTGTCTTTGACCTTGGTGGGTTTTGCCATGAAAAATTTGTATATGATGTGTGGAGTTGAATTTATCAGTGTTTTCCTCTAACACTAATGGGTGTAATGCCTTCTTAGAAAGGCCTTCTCCATTCTGAGATCATTTAAAAAAATTCTCTCATGATTTTTTCTAGTGCTTTTATAATTTTTTCCTTTTTCTTTTTTTTACTCAAATATTTGATCCATCTAGATTCATTTTGGTGCAATATGTTAGGTATAAATCCAACTTTGTGGTTTTTTTTTTTCCTACCTGGCAACGCAGTTGTCCCAGGGCCATTGATTGAGTCTTCATGCATATTTATTTTTGTATGTGTTTGTGTCTATTTCTGGATATTCTTCTTATTAAAAAAAGTTATATGAGTATTATACATGAATTCATGCTCTAGTGAAGTGTAGAGTTAAAAACAGGCTCTTTGCTTCCCTTCTACCCATTCTCTCACACTTTCTCTGAGATAATAATTGTTAACAGATAAGTGTGTGTTCCTTTTAGACCTTTTTCTACTATTCATGTGTGTATATGCACACATATACACACACAGCATGTATGATATGCTCTAAATTGCTCTTTTTTCTACTAATTTGATGTCTTAGACTTCTGTAATAGTCTATACAGTTCTACCTCATCATTCTTTCTGACCTCTGCATGGATTGTATACTATGAATTTATTATACTTTATTTTAGCACTCCTCTATTGTTACACATCTCGGTTGTTTGCACTTTTTTCCTAATTCTATCAAGGCTATATATATAGCTTATGAAGTATGTAGCATTGCTTCTCTTTGATTGGTGATAAGCCTGTTCTAAAAGTAAAATGTCTACTTATATGATTGGCTTAGTATTGTAAAATTCATGAGGATGAAAATCTGGAACACATTGAGTGACATGTTGTTAATATTTTATGATGATCTTATCTTTTTAGATAAAATTCGATGCTGGGACACTTCTTCTTAGTACACATCGACTGATTTGGAGAGATCATAAAAATCATGTAAGATACAGTTTTTTGCATCTGTTGTAGGTTTGTTTGTTTATTTACTTATACAGACAGAGTCTCACTATGTTGCCTAGGCTGGAGTGCAGTGGCTATCCATAGATACAATAATAGGGCGATATATCCTTGAACTCCTGGGCTCAAGTGATCCTCCTGCCTAAGCCTCCTGAGTAGCTGGAACTATAGGTGTGGGCCACTGTGCCTGGTTCTGATGTAGATTTTAAATCACTGAAATTTTTCATTCTTTTTTCTTTTTTGGCAAAACCATAAGTGGATGTAATAAATTTTCCTTTTCAAAATATCAGAAAGTGTGTCCCATACGATTTCTCTGAATGGAGTGCAGAGATAGGAGTTAGGGTGTTGTCCCTTATTCAGCTCCAGAAAAGTCTGTGTAGTTACTGGATGGGGAATCATGGAGACTCCTGTTTTGCAAATGCCAGTCAAATCCTACTCCATACCTGAATGTCACATGTGTACAGAGGAATAATTCTCTCATCAGTTATGAGAGGTCTTTAAAAAGGGCTCCTATGTCCTTAAAACTACTGCTTCTCCCATGTTGTTGTTGAGAATCAGGGGGATAGGTCTGCCATGAAGTGCGTACTTTTACCCAGTTATTGAGATATTGCTAGGTATTACTGCTTCTAAGTCAGCAAGAAGAGAAGTCCCTCCCCCCCAATTCTTTTAGGAAGAGAAAGTTTTATGTATATAGAGCTGATATCTTTATTCTGAAGAGCTTCTACTAACAAGTATATATACATTAATTTCAGTGTTGCTGGTTAGATAGCTATCTCATCTATGTTTTTATTTCCCTAATTGCTCCCCCTTCATGAAATTTTAATACCACAAATAAACTATTAATATATACTATACTGTGGCCCTTGAAGGTATGTTAACCATTGCAGTATCTGACCTTTTTGCTCCCCAGGAACTAATTTTTGTCCCCTAAGTCTGATATTGCCACTGTTGATAATGTATGCCTGTTAATGTTGTCTAATTCTTTTAAAAGTAATGTATATTCAGGAAAGAAATCTTTTGGGGAAGGATGGGGTGGGTGTGTTGGTTATTAAACTTAAACTATATGTTGATTAATTAATCTTAGTATCATTTTTGATTATCATATAAAAAGACCAATTTGGAGAAATCCTTAGACCTATTACATGCTGTTCATGTATAATAGTTTTTAAAATTAAATGTGCTAATAAAGGGAAACTACTTCAATATTTTCTATTCAAAACTAATTTTATTTGTGTTTATGGATGAAATATGGAAAATTATGAAGAAGATGAAAAATCACCTATATTCCTTAAAATTGTTTTGATGAAGGTTTAATTTTTTGCTTTCCATATAAGAAAATATTACATGTAAAAAGTTTTCATACAAATATTTCTCTTAGAACATGCACCTAATATAAAAACAAAGGTAGTTACAGCTGCTTTTAAACCTCTTATGTTCTTCTATATAGCAAAATGCCACCAGCATATTGTTTTTATTTAATCTTTTCTTAAGTTCATTAAAGGAATAAAATAATATCATTTTTCATTATTTTCATTATTAGGGTATATGACACTCTAAAGCTATAAAACAAGGATTTCTGACAAGTGTTATGGATCTTGTTTTCTATTCATTTCCTCCTAGGAGTGCTGCATGGCCATTCCTCTTTCCCAAATCGTGTTGATTGAAGAACAGGCAGCTGGAATTGGAAAGAGGTGAGGTCTATATCATACAGTCTTTATTCACAAAAAATATTTCCTGTCCTGCTGTTTTGGTCAGAAGGTCCGCTAAGGTGTGGTCCTACCTCAGACTTATTGATGTATAAAGTCATTCTTAAAGCATGAATAAAGTATAAAGGTTTGCTATAATATCCTTGTATCATTGTACATGGCACATAATAAAGAACTGCGGCCCAGCTATCATTGTATATATTTCCACAGACACTTTGTTTTCATGTCTGTATACCTGTCATTTCATACTTAGAATCAGAAATAACCCATCTGAGAAAAATAACTGACTTTGCTCCTGTTTCTAGCTGGTCATTAAGTTTGTTTCTTAAGTTCAACTTGTTCAGATATCAGGATTAAATAGTATAATAGTTATTGTGCATAATGGGACATTTGTAAGAAGAATAGGAGGTACAATGAACAATTAGAACAGGGTAATGAGCATAAATGGGACTGTCCCAGGCAAACCAGGAGATGTGGCCACCCTGGTGTAAAGGTATAAGTTCAAATATTCCTGTTTACTCAAATGTACCAAAAACTTGGCATTATATTTTAAGTACATGTAATTGAGGAGACTTATGAACAAATATTTTTGGCATGGAATTTTTTTTTCTTGTGTAGGCTCATCTTTAGGTTTAGCATAATTAGAGAGTTCAACAAAGGTTAAACAATGTTGAACTTCACTGGACATGCAATGTATGCCTTAATCAAAATGTTATAGCTACCATAAAATATTGCTTATTTGACATAAGAGAAACTAACAAATTTTGAATAGATTAATAAGCCATAGATTTTTAAGAGTGGATTGCTCCTATAATGTATATTTTCCCCCTTGTCATTTTTCTCCCGCTTACCAAGTTCTGGAAAGTAAACTTTAAGGTTGTTCCAGATCATTTGCATTCTCCTCTGTTGTGTTCCAAGGAAACCTGAACTCTGTAACAAAAATATTTAAAATATTTGCCTTCATATTAGTGGTCTTATTTTTTAAACATTTCCAGTGAGGACGAATTCAGTAATATGCCAAGTTAACGTTTCTCCAATATTCTCTTTAGTTCCCAGCCCCTCAAAGAGTTATCATATTGCGTTGATTTAAAAATGTGTATTTTTTGACCTTTTAATGTCTGTGAACTCAACATCTTTCATTTCATAGATTTTAAATTTGATGAAATATAGTGAATGACTCAATAAAAGAATATATGAAAAATATGGCATTAATTTCTTATGCTTACTTTGGAATTTTTAAACTTTATTTGTATCATAGTCTCTTAGCTTTTCATTGGGTGTCCTTTGACAGAATCTAATAGTAGGGTTGAGGTTTTTTAGTTTCAAAGATTGTGAAATGCTTTTGCTCAGCCACCCTATCATAACTGTTACAGTTTTGTTGCTCTACTTAAAAGTTTATTTCAGACAGTGCTATGACTCTGCTCATGCAGGTTATTTGTTCACTTCACTTAAAGATGTTCACCACAAGGGAATAGAAGAGTGCTCACAAGGGTGGCCCCAGGTCACTAACCAGAGGATTCATTAAGTAGAGGAGGCCCAACACCAGGTTTTTCAGTTTTATAGTGGTATGTAGGCAACCATATGGGCACACAGAAAAGTAAAATTGAGTAACAGATGTGTACCTATAATGTGATCATAGAGAAAAAGCTCTAAGATAGGTGTCCAGGATATTTTGACTATGAGTTTTTAGTTTCCCTAATCTTTATAGAAGAGTGCTTATTGAGCAGGTTAGATAAAAAGAGGAAAACAGACTTACAAAGCTGAACAAATATAGTGATATTTTTAATAGCATAGAAGATAATCATAGTCATAAAGATAATGGTAGTTTGTGTTCCTAGAGCAGCAGTATTTGAGAATTGTTTTTGTTATTGGGTATCTTTCTACATCATACTGTTGATTGAGTGGCATTTTCCAACAAATGACGCTGTAAAATGTTAGTTTTGGATGGAGTTTTAATAAAATATCAGCTGGCCAGTTTTACAGATAAGTTTTCACATTTTGTTTTCAAATTGAGTTAGGTAGTATGCTTTGGCAGTAATATAGGTCCCCTTATAACCTTTGGGGATGATTGTAGAATGAAAACCCTCATCATAAACTACTCAGAATTTTGCAAATTTATTTGGCACATATTTTCTAAACAACATTTTAATTTAATCTATAGAGTTAGTAACTTCATACTTTTTGGTTCATAGCTTAAGAGCTATTTTTAAAAGCTTCATTAATAGTGAATTAATACAAACTTTAAAAAAGGATGCTTTTCAGGGTATTCTTTGTTTCTGTATGAATTTTTTAAGAGTGATTTGAGATATATTAAAAATTACAAAAATAGAATTAGTGATTTTTTAAGGCAATTAAATACATTATATTTGCTCTTTCTTCAGTGCCAAAATAGTGGTTCATCTTCACACAGCTCCTCCCAACAAAGAACCTGGCCCATTCCAGAGTAGTAGGAACTCCTACATCAAACTCTCCTTCAAAGAACATGGCCAGATTGAGGTAAGTTTCTACATGAATAAAATTGTGCTAGAAAGGGGTGTGTGCGTATTTTTCTTGTGATTTGTTAATACAATGGAAGGCATTATTATACAATATACCAGGTTTCACCATGTTTTTACAATAAAATTTTTATTATATCTTAAGACTTTTCAGAAAATGGAGAATATAAAGTTTAGGTTCAGTGGGATTGGAAAGCAGGATGTGGTCACAGAGAGGGAGCAGAGATTGGAAATATGCTAAATCATGCTATTAAATATTTGGCTACAAGTAAAATTTTCAATGGTATTGTTAGATGAAAGGGACAGAGTATAAATGCCGTGAAATGTTAAACTACCTCAGTATCTGAAAGTTTGGTGAACTTAAATCAAGCAGTTTATCTTAACTCCATATAATTCTAGTCACTAAAGTACTTATTCTTCAGTGTAATATATTAATAATATTTTATATGTTCTGATTAATAAGTTGCTATACATCTATTCTTAATAGAAGTGTGTTTTTATTCTCCCCATCAATATAATAAATTATATATGTTTTGTTTTCTATAGTACCTCACCCAGTGTTTTTCACACAGTAGTCACTAAACAAATATGAGTGACTGACTGAGTCATTCTCACTGTAGTTGAAAAATATATTTGCTTTTTTATGGGCATGGGCATGTTTTGGCCCTACATTTTGGCTTCAGATTTTAACTAGACAAATTATTCTCTACTTCCTTCATGGAAAATAGTGGTATGTTTTTCCTGGTACTGTTTGTTTCACTGTAGATTGAAAACAATCCACATATACAGGATTGTTTAAAGCAAGTCTGTTTATTTCATTGTCACTCATCTCTTTGTTGAGAATAGTCCACTTTCTATAGAAGGTCAGTTCCTTCTTTTTTTTTTTTTCCTTTGTGCTTTCTGAAGTTGATCCAAGAAAAGAACTTCCTCTGATTTCCTTTGATGTCTCTGAGAATTCTAGGCTTGTTGCAAATGACCAAACAGACCTTTAAACTAAAGAAATGTTAAGTAATGATTTGTGTGAGGATGCCACAACCTGAGTGACTCGTTTAAAATGTGTATATTTGCATAACAGTTTTACAGGCGTTTATCAGAGGAAATGACACAGAGAAGATGGGAGAATGTGCCAGTTTCCCAGTCATTGCAAACACATAGAGGATCCCAGGTATTTTTTAAACTGTTTGCTCATCCATATTTTCAACTCTGTACTTACATCTTCAGTAAGAAAAAGATTGTGATTATAGAACTTGTCAAAAACAAAATACTGTAATGGTATTCTGATAAAAAATTTATTTTCACAGCACCTAATTTAGTGCTTTGAAGATGGTAGACACTTAGTAATATAAATGACTACTTACCAGAGCAATTTCAAAGGTGGTAGAAGTTAGATTTTACTCATTGCATTCTGTTCTTCATAATTAGTGTGGCATTTGAGAAAATAAACAGTACAGCTAGGTGATATTTTCCAGGCTAGTCTAAATTAATCACCAAGTATAGAGGCACTTAAATGCGTGAAAGTAACTTGGATAATAACTGTTAAGTACCAGAATTTTTAACTATGATTTTCTGTAAATTTGAGGCCCTATTAAGTATGTGATGCATAATACCTTGCCAAAGAACAAAAAAACCCAGAAAATTTAATTTACATCTAAAATGCAAAATAAATATGCCATTTATTATATATTTGGTTTTTCTTTAATGATTTGAAGATCATTACATATAGCAAAAACCAAACAAATGTTTTCAAAGGAAGCTAGATGTAATTGTATGCCGTTTTTCTTTGGTTCTTTGTGAGTCCTTTCCCGCCATTGAAAACACAATGGAGTGAGTTACAAAAGATTTTGTTTCCTTCCTATTTTGTGTGTTTTATTTTCTACTTTTTTTCTAGCCAGGAAGAATAAGGGCTGTAGGAATCGTGGGTATTGAAAGGAAACTGGAAGAAAAAAGAAAAGAAACTGACAAAAACATTTCTGAGGTAACTCTTAAACAAGTTCTGGTTCACCATCTTTTTCAGCCATTTGCGTCTATTCATTTGGATACATCTGTGACTAATTTCGTTGTATAATTTGGAGTATATTTATTAATAGTTTTCCTGAAGCTACATAGCCTCTTATTCCCTTTAACAAATCTACCTTGGGTTGGCAGAGTTTAACTGAAACACGTTTTAAAAGTTTTTTCTAAAAAGAAATAAAAAACACAAATTTGTTTTTTGTTAGAAAACATCAGAATGTTGTGTGTAAATTTTAAAGTCTAGATGGAATTGATCGGAGGATATTCCTAATGAGCTCAAGGTCCTCTGTATCATTATTTTGGAAGTTTGGCTAAGCTAGTTGAGAGAAAAATGGTGTTCTGTGGCCTCTGTCCCTGGCCAGACACCACAGTTTTATGCTTATGACCACTTGGGCACCAGACACGGTAAGAATGGCTCAAACCAGTCAGCCCACCACTTCCACAAGGAGACAACCCTGAGCATGTACATTACAGTGTTTCCAAGGGCTCATCATATATGAGAAAATTCAAGTGACAGGGAAAGAACTCTAGTTAAGAAAACTAGTTATGCATTAAATTCTGTAATTAGTTAATACATCTAACCATATCATTGGTTTTTCCATGTTTATATAAAAATGGTCTTGAATTTTTATGAAATGATGCTATAAAGTAGTTCTTTAGTTTTTTATGATAGCTTGTAAGGTAAATTCCACAGTCACTATCTCCTCTGAATCCTTCGTTTTTATGTTGTGATTTTGAGAAATTCAGAAACTATGCTGCCACAGTCACCATCTCCTCAGAGTCCTCTATTCCCATAAAATTCCACCATTTTAGCATTAGAAGGGTTCTTATTATCCAGAGAAGGTATTTGTCTCAGAACAAATGACTATATTTGGAACCAGGCAGATGAGAACACAGGTCTCCTGGTTTGCAGGTAGTTTGCAGGTGCTGACAATATGCAGGGTCGCCACCCAGAAGATGCTGTTTCTGTCCTTTTTCAGCAACGCCCATTGTCATCGTCTTTGTTTTGCCACTTTCAGAGATGGCATGGAGCAGTGAACTAATTTTGCATTATTTGTATTCCTTTTTTTGATTGCTGCCATAATAACTTAGTGTTATATTCAAAATAATGTTTTTCTTGGCCGGGCGCGGTGGCTCACGCCTGTAATCCTAGCACTCTGGGAGGCCGAGGCGGGCGGATTGTTTGAGCTCAGGGGTTTGAGACCAGCCTGAGCAAGAGCGAGACCCCGTCTCTACCAAAAATAGAAAGAAATTAATTGGACAGCTAAAAATATATAGAAAAAATTAGCCGGGCATGGTGGCGCATGCCTATAGTCCCAGCTACTCGGGAGGCTGAGGCAGTAGGATCACCTGAGCCCAGGAGTTTGAGGTTGCTGTGAGCTAGGGCCATGGCACTCTAGCCCGGGCAACAAAGTGAGACTCTGTCTCAAAAAAAAAAAAAAATAAAACAATGTTTTTCTTAATTTATGAAATAAGTTATTCTATTTCTGCCTAATTTTCATTGAGTCCCATAGCTCAGAGGATTCTACCCAAGCATTGTGTTCTATCACGCAGATCATTGATTTATTCCTCAGGAAATCATTCTCTCTACTCTGTGCCAGGCCCTACATCAGAGGCTGTGGATACTGTGTTGAGGCACCAGACATAGTTAGGCAAAGAGGCATTGTCTACCATGGGAGAATTTCCTGGTGAAGAGAAAGTACAGGCTGCAGCATGACATACAACATGGCCTCTAACTTCTGTTGGCATCATGATGGGAAGGCTTGTTAGCAGCAGGAATGTGGAAGTCAAAGCCTGAAAGATGAGCAGGTGCTAGCAGATAACCAGCAGGGATAAGAGGGATCCAGGTAGGGGGAATGCAATATGCAAAGGCACAGAATCAGGAGTCACTGAAACAGAAAATTCAAGAATATATTAATAATCACCGAAACTAATAACCAAAGTAATGACTGAAAGTCACTAAGTAATAATGCTGTAACTCACCTTAAGAAGGTACCTTATGGTTTTAAAACAGATGCCATTTTTCTCAAAATTGTAGTGGCAATTTGACTATGGGTGTGGTGGAGGGATAGAAGGTTCTATAAACTGACAGATAAAATAATAGAATGGGTATATGCATCTATTTTGCTTTAATTTTTATTGTAGGTAGTTTTTCCACCCGGTTTTTGATAGTTGGCTAATTCCAAATTTTAGAATAATAATAGAAATAAAAGTAAGGAAGCTTTTATTTGTGTTTTATAATTACTTAAAATATTTTATAGACAATTCTTTCGAGGTACTAAAATATTTGCTATATTTTTATTGCCTATTTATAAGCAATAAGGGCTAATTTATGTATTCTATGTGGACTTTATTATTTTAGCATTTTTTCTGCAAAAATATAATACAATGAATAAAATTATTTACCACGTAAAATTTTAATAAGTGTTGTCTTATTAGTTTTCTTTACACAGGTAAAAGAAATCTATTAATATTTTATATATCCAAAGTAAAATGTTCATGTGTTTTATTTTTGAAAACTAGGTTGGTGTGTGATTTGCCCTTCATTTAAATGTTAGAATTGACTTAGTTTCAGAGATGGTGCCCAGAGTTTCTCACAAAGGGTTTCCTGCATCTGCTGGCTCTTGCTGATAAGAAGCCAATGTTTAAGCCTTTTGTTTATCTGAGGAAATTCCTGTTAGGTGTGTGCACATTCCCCTTTGTTTTCAGTAATAGCCTCAGTGAGTGGGCCATACCAATTCACAACACACTATTCTTCTGGCAAAATCCTTTGCAGGTGGGGAATACTTTCCTGCAGATGGTCATAAGCAGATCAGAGCCACCACTATATATCAGAACACTGTGCAGACTGATTTTTCAGTTTATGACAAGTTGCTTATTTGGTTTTTAAAAATAACATCTGTGCACATTAACTAGATAAGATATTCTGCACTGGCAGTATATTTTCAGTAACTTGAAATAATTTATTAGAAATATGTCTGATTAAGTTTGCAAGGGCCTTTGAAGTGGATACTTGCTGTAGCAAATTAAACAATTGATGGATTTTATTTAGATTCGTTTTGGTGGTATTTGAAAGTTTTTCTTTTGTGATAGCCACCACATCTGAAGCTACAGGTATAATGTGTTTAATATCCAGAGGCTGAGGCTTACTGTTTCAGTTAAATCACATCTGCTTTAATATAAGCCAAAATTATTGTGCCTAAAGAAGTATTCCTGCAGCTGCGTATTGCCATTTTTAACCAGGAAAGCTTTGCAGTACCTTTGATTCTTGATTTCCTATCAGGAAATGATTTTAGGAAAAACCAGTGACAGATTTTCTTACTTGTGTGAAATAACAGTAAATAAAATTTTCTGAACTATTAGTTGTGTCACCTTTTGATTGTTTAATCAATGATAATTTTCTCTTTGAAAACCTGAAGTTGTGTTTTTTTTTGCAGTTTGTTTTGGAAACTTTATGGCTTCTTAGCTAAACTGAAATTTTAGAATAAGGTAGATTGATTACTTATATAAATATTTTATTAATAAATTAGTATTTGTAAGAAAATTTCATAAATTTTTATCATAGGGAAAAATAGAAGGTGCTTCATTGCTTTGAAATATTTTAAATTCTTTAGACAGATTCCAACAAAAACTCATTTTTCATTCCAGGCCTTTGAAGACCTCAGCAAGCTAATGATCAAGGTATATATCATTTACATCTATTAAATTCATACCGATTATGATACTGTTTCGAAAATATATTTTATTAGCAGACACTTTGGGAACTATTTGTTTTCAGTCTTTACTTTTCATTTGACAGGCTAAGGAAATGGTGGAGTTATCAAAATCAATTGCTAATAAAATTAAAGACAAACAAGGTGACATCACAGAAGATGAGGTAAATAGGTTGCTTTTCTAAGGCATTAGAAACTAGATTACACAAATAATGCAATGAGGTTTTTGTGATTTACCAATTTGCTTTCTTAATGTAGTGTTTTATTTCTTTTAGGACTTTAGGGGGTATGTGAATGCGCTAAAGAAAAAGTCAGCCATAAAAATTTTGTTGGGATTAAGGGTTATTTCCATGCCTTTTTTTGGAGTGTAGAAAACAGAGATACTGAGATGTGTAAGGAATGGCTGTTTTATACATATCCTTAAGTTTGATGCCTGTTTCATGAAATTTGTCTGCAGTCTGGTAATAGCCATTTTCCTTCCTAAGTTTTCAGTTGTATCATTTGGTTAGCATTAAATACAGCATAGTTGTTATCTAAGTCTCCTCTCCCACCAGCCATGTGAAGTGAATGGAGTATGAGAGACCTGGATAGAAGAAGGAAGGAGAACAATTAGATTTATGCAGGGAACTACTAGAAATCTGTTCCCTTATAGTTCACAGCTTAGAAACACAGTTGAAGAAAAGAGTATACATAGAAATAATTGACTGGGATTGAATTTATGGTGGAAGGATTTCAGTTATTGGGGTGGGGAGACTAATTCTGCATGTCTTTTTGTGCATTTTCTCCTCTCGTTATAGACCATCAGGTTTAAATCCTACTTGCTGAGCATGGGAATAGCTAACCCAGTTACCAGGGAAACCTATGGCTCGGGCACACAGTACCACATGCAGCTGGCCAAACAGCTGGCTGGAATATTGCAGGTGCCATTAGAGGTAAAAACCAAACCTAAGTGTTCTTTTAAAACTGTGTTAAATTATTCTGTCATCAGAAATGTTAACAAGAACATAACTCCTTTCATGATGTGGTTATTGTCAACTGACATGTTATTTTTGTCTTTCAGAAATATTAAATTAGTTCAGTATACTTAGGATTCTTTGTAATCTTCTAAATTGTTTCACTTTTCATCTTAGACATGTATAACTTTCTAAATCTATTTGATGTGAAGCTTTTCTTACTTTCAAAAGGAAATATATGTTTCTCTGTATAAATTTCCATATATCTAGTCTTTACTATATAATACTGTTAATGATTCCATAATACAGATTCATCTTGTAGTCTCATAGTATTCATGCAATCAGAAATTTATGCCAAAATAGAATAGCATAATGAATCCCCATGTGCCCATCATCCAGCTTCATCTGTAAACCAACCTCCACTCAAAATTATTTTAAAGCAAACCCTAGCCATCACATCACTTTATCTGTAAATATTTCAGTATATAACTACAATGATAAAGACTCCTTTAAACACAACTATAATCCCATTACACATCTAAAAAATTAAAAATAATTCCTTAGCCTCATTAAATACCTAGTTAGTGTTTACATTTTCTCGTACAGTCCGTCTGCTTAAATCAGGATACATTGCAGTTAGTCAACTTTTCTCTCAAGTTTGGTTTTTTTTTAATTCCACGGGTTTCTATTTCCCCTCTCTCTCTTACCTTCCACCACACAATGTATTTATTGGAGAAACAAATCGTTTATCCCATAAAGTGTGCTTCCCTATCCTATGTATTTCCTATAAACTAGTAGTTATAAATAAAGGGCCATTAGTTTTTTTTGCTGACAAGAATATTTTACAGAGGGCATTGTGCACATCCATCAGGAGGTGCATAAAGTCTGATTGTCTTTCTTCTGTGTGTATGTGATATTAGCAGCCACTGACAATCATTACCTAGAACTGTTACTTCATTAGGGGTTGCAAAATGGTGATATTCTTATTTAATTCTATGCTTTCTTCATTTATTAGCTGGAATAACTTAAAACATTTAAAGGTACTTTTTGAAACATGGTATTTTGAAACATGGAAAAGAGGGTCTCTACCCTCTTTTCATTTAAATAAATGTTAAAATAGTAATAATGACATTAAAGTCCAAATACTGAATTTGAAGTGCTTCATGGTATATGAATAGGTTCTCCTGTGTATAAATATAGTTTTTCAAAGCTTCTTAAGAAATTTTCTGATTTCTGATTTCCCTTTGATTATGATTTATGTTAAGAAATGGGCCAGGCGCGGTGGCTCACGCCTGTAATCCAAGCTCTCTGGGAGGCCGAGGCGGGCGGATTGTTTGAGCTCAGGAGTTCGAAACCAGCCTGAGCAAGAGTGAGACCCCGTCTCTACTAAAAATAGAAAGAAATTAATTGGACAACTAAAAATATATACAAAAAATTAGCCGGGCATGGTGGCGCATGCCTGTAGTCCCAGCTACTCGGGAGGCTGAGGCAGGAGGATCGCTTGAGCCCAGGAGTTTGAGGTTGCTGTGAGCTAGGCTGACACCACGGCACTCTAGCCAGGGCAACACAGTGAGACTCTGTCTCAAAAAAAAAAAAAAAGAAATGCTAACTAGTGCTAATGATAACATAATACTTTTAAAATTTTTCGTATTTTAACAGGAACGAGGGGGAATAATGTCACTGACGGAGGTGTACTGTTTAGTAAACCGAGCTCGAGGAATGGAAGTAAGAATAGAATATTTAGATATTCTTTTAACTAAACATAGACTTTCTTGATATAATACAAATTCCCCTACAATGAATACAATTTGAGGAAGGGTTGTGAATATCAAAGCTATTTTGAGAAGCAGTGTGGTGCAATGAAAAGAATACTGCTCTGGGATCTAGGAGGGTAGATTCTATTCCTGACTTGCTGTGTGACCTTGAGAAGCTTACTTATCCTCTCTGGGACTCAGTTTTTTTCTTTTTAAAATTTTATTTTTATTTATAATTACACATAATAATTGTACATTTTTATGGGGCACTGTGTGATATTTCAATGCAGATATACACTGTATAATGATTAAATCGGGTAATTAGGTTATCCATCACTTTAAACACTTATCATTTCTTTGTGGTGATAACATTCAAAATCCTCTCTTCTGACACTCTTGAAATATACACTGCATTGTTATCGTCTATAGTCTCCCTACTGTGTAATAGAGCACTAGAACTTACTCTTCCCACCTAACTCTAACTTTGTACACACTGACCAACCTCTCTCCATCCCTTCCTCCCTCCTACCCTCCCCATCTCTAGTAACCATTGTTCTACTCTCTTCTATGACATCAACTTTTTTAGATTCCACATATGAGTAAGATCATGTGATATTTGTCTTTGTCTGGCTTATTTCACTTAATATCCTCCAGGTTTGTCCATGTTGCTGCAAATGACAGGATTTCATTCTGTTTTATGGCTGAATAGTATTCCATTGTGTGTATATGCCACATTTTCTTTATCCCTTTACCTGTAGATGGGTACTTGGGTTGATTCCATATCTTGGCTATTATGAATAGCGCTGTTTAGGGACTCAGTTTTCTTACCTTTAAAATAAGGCTTTGGACTGAGTGATACCTTTCAGCTCTAATTGTCTCTGTCTTGTGATGAGTAAGGTTGTCCAGGAAGCCCTTTCTCTGCATTAGCTAACTCTTAAGTTAACTTGGTTGGATACAGATTGCCTGGTAGGTAACGCAGAGGGGACACTGCTCTGCCCCTTTGGTTATGTATCAGCAGTGGCTATTCTTCAGCTCTCGTTGCCCCTTCACATCCAGATATCCTTGGCCTCCAAGGTTCTGTCCAGGTATTCTTTGTGCCCCAGCAATCAAAGTCTTGTGGTGTTAGCAGTCACCTCCATGCGAATGACTCACCCCAGTCCCAGGAGTTAAGCCTCTGCTCTATGTTTTTATTTGAATAGTGATTATTACTGCCGTCAGTTAGTGCTTACTATCTGCTGGGCACTCTGCACATGTTACCTTATTTATCTTGCCACTAACTCAGTGATATAGCTACTTTTACTGTTCTCATGTAGGGGATAATTTGGGGATTATGAAATTGAGGCTTAGAAAGATGAAATAATTTGACAAGGTCCATACCCAAAGACAGTGGTTTGACAGGGATTTGGACCCAGGCTGGGCTGGCTCTGGAGCCATCCTGTTGGACTCAAAGCTGTACTTACCACCACTGTACTGTGCTGATTTGTTAAAGTTGCACTGTCTAAAAGGGTAGCCATTAGCTATTAATACCTCCCTACATGTGATGAATGTGAACTTGAAATGTAGTTAATCCAAATCGAGATGTGTTGTAAGTGTAAAATACACACCAGATTTACAAGACTTAGTACAAAATAAGGAAATGTTAAATATCTCATTAATAATTTTTTATATAGATTATATGTTGAATTGGTACTACGTTCAATCTATTGGGTAAATAAAATATACGTGTTAAAAATTTTAACCTGTTTCTTTTTAGTTTTTAAATGTGGCTACTATAAAATTTAAAATTATGTATGTGGCTTGCATTATATTTTTGGGGAGATAGCATTACTTTAATGAATACTTAGTTAATAGTTAAGTACTTGAATGAAAACGTAGTTAATCTGCTTTGCCTTGCAATGATTAAGTCACCTGACATCCTTGATAAGTGGTCATTTTTTGATTTCCTCTTCTGTTTTAGTGATCATTATAATTATATAGCATTACTTTATTAATTTGCAGTGTAAACTGGATTTTTTTCCCCATTAGCTGCTCTCACCAGAAGATTTAGTGAATGCCTGCAAGATGCTGGAAGCACTGAAATTACCTCTCAGGTAAAGGAATTTCTGCAGGCAGTTTGCCACCTGTAACCACGATTCTGCACAGGGTGGATAGGAAAACCCAGCCAAGGTTACCATCCCGAGTGCTGAGCCAAAGTGTTGCCCTCTTGAAATTATATTATCTGTGAGTAGAATTCACCTGGCCCCGCACGCATCTTCTGTTATCCTGGCTTTCATCTTTATCAGGGCCGGGCATGTTCTAACAGGGCTAGAAGGTAGACTCTTGTCCATTTAGGGGAAGGAAAAAGAATGTGGCTCCTCCTATGAGATCAGAATAACTAGCCCCTCTTCTCTTGGACATTTTGTGTTAGTGTCTGGAGATATTCAGCTGTGAATTTTATTTTCTTTATCCTCAGGTTACAAAAAAGGTAGCCAGACATTTTATTTAGGATATAGATTCTAGTTCATAATTTTATTATCTGTTTATTCATAAGCTTTTTAGTTATGCCATAGTTGCTTGTGTTGGATAGGTTTTAAATGTTGTTTTGTGTTAATCTTGCCTTCATTCCTGGGCATCAAAGAAAGTAACAAAGATGTGCTCCTCCTTAGCAGCTGAATACCCTAGATGATTCCTGCTTTGTTCTTGCATCTGTGGTTTTCAGGCTCCGAGTTTTTGACAGTGGCGTCATGGTGATCGAGCTTCAGTCCCACAAGGAAGAGGAAATGGTGGCCTCAGCCCTGGAGACAGTATGTGAAGCCGGTTTCCTCCAGTCTTTAGAGCTTGCCACCAAGACCCAAATGCTTAGCAACTTGAGAAACAGGATTTCCTTTTGCATTTAACTTTACTAAAAAGTAACATTCGCAGACCCAATTAAAAATGGCTTATCATTAACAATGAATCAGTATTAACCAGTCATACATTGAGAGCTTTTTGAAACTTTTTGACACTCTTAACATCTTATAAGTAAGGAAAATTAGAATTTAGTGAGGTGCTTTCTTGTCTATTGAAGCTCAGTGTTGAGAGCAGCTTTCTAACTTTGTTAATCAGAATATTAAACATAGTTGAACTTTTTCTTTCAGTAACACGTACTTAAACAGTATCATAAAACACAAGTTGTTTTGTGAAATAATTGCTTCAAAAAATGTGAAAAGCAACTGTAATTTAGATGGATTTTACTGGCCAAACTGCCAGTATTTCTCATTAGGATACTTGAAATAGTACTGTCTTCATAGCCTCTATGGTGAGCTATGTGAGTATAATTTGAATAACACATTTATTATAGTTCTCATTTTTAACTAGACAAAAACCCCAAGACTGGATATTTTTACCACATATTTTAAACTAAACTTATATATAAGTTCCTTTACTGGAGCATGTAATATACACTCAATTAGAATTTGTTATATGTTCCTTTTCAGACTATCAAATAGTTCATAGGCTTTATTTAGTACAGTGCCTTTGTTGCATTATAGAGGGCTTCGTCTTGATATATTAGCCTCTAGTATATCTGTTCTGGGTTCTTCAACTTTTGTAGGATTAAGCATTAAGATTTACTTCTATAGTGAATATTCTTTGGATTTTAGTAGAAAATTCAATAAATTATATTCTGCATATACTGGTATACATTCTGCTTACGGTTAGTACCTAGATTTCCTAAATTAATCACATTTTTTTCTGCTGTGTTTCTGTTAGGTTTCAGAAAAGGGATCCCTAACATCAGAAGAGTTTGCTAAGCTTGTGGGAATGTCTGTCCTCCTGGCCAAAGAAAGGTAAGTAAGATCCTTGCCCTTCATTTCAACATTATGTGTGTTTGTGTTTCTGCATGGACAGATAATTGTGTTTTTTTCCTTTTTTTTTTTAGGTTGCTGCTTGCAGAGAAGATGGGCCATCTTTGCCGAGATGACTCAGTGGAAGGCTTGCGTTTTTACCCAAATTTATTTATGACACAGAGCTAAGGGTTTTATATTTGAAATCCTTTTTGTCCATGTGCTTGCATCATGTAGAGGCTATATGACATTGAACTAAGAGACAAACCCTGATCACCTGAGAATTTATTGGAACTTCACAGTAGAATATAAAACTTTCTTAATTTCTCCCTAAATATTATGATCCAGGAAGCTTATTTAGGATACATATAGGAAAATACAGAAAAATGAATGCCAATATGAATTTAAACTCATGCCATAGCTGTGCAGAACCCTCAGAGTTTAACTTGAAATATGGTAGATTTTAACTTGATCCTCAAATCTAACCATTCTATAAAGAAGGGAATTTAGTTTTGCAGGGAAGAAAAAGAGAAGTGGCATGTTGGGACAGGTTAGCTTATTATTTTGGTGTGACTAAAATTCACTGGATTATAAATGAGGTTTTTCTCTGGGCCTGTTGTGCCCATTTGGGGGGTTTTCATGAGGAAGTCATACCCTGCAGGGCAGTTTAAGAACCTGACAACCTTGGAACAAAATACCAAACCGTAGCATGCCTTAAGAGGCTCCTCCTAAGGGCTTTTAGAAACAGTCATAGGCATGTCTTCAACAGATCAAATAAAACACCTCTGAAAGGAGAGAATTTTATTTGACTTATTATATACTCCAGCTAGCTTATTTCATTTTTTTAAGTGATGATTTCACGGCTGGAATTTAAAGAATGCAACTGTGTCATTTTATTTTAAAAATGCTGTGGATTTTGAAACTGCATTAGAAAGCTGTATAGACATGCCCAGAGTTATGATTACGAATTTGGGAGGTAAACAGCTCAGGAATTCCCTAGGATTGTTGCGCATGTGGAAGGGCAGAGGGAACCTTTAAATAGCTTCATAGGAACCTTAGTGCTCTTTTACCTCAAAGCCACATACAGAAAATAGAAGTAGAAAAGTAATATGTCTCCTTTTCTTTCCTTTAAGGAGTTTCAACACTGAACTTTAAAAAAATCTGTCATATTCCAGCAATATTTTTTTCTTTGCCCCATACTTTATAAGTTGTGTGGAGAAAGTATTTCAGTAAAAGTCTTACTGAGATAACAAAAACTGGCTAATACTGCCTGTAGATTGCTTGAGTTTTAAAGTGGACTGCCTGACTTCATACGTTACTGCTCTACTGCCTGCAGTATGTTGGCATTACCTCAAACTCAGGGACCCCACAGGGCAGAAGGAGACCCCCTTTATGAGACTGAGTTAGAAGTGGAACGGTAATAATGGTTTTGCCCAAGCCTCCGGAAGAGATAGCGTGTGTATTGGGAGAACGCCTGGGACCAGGAGGAGGGATGCCCAGGGTCACATTCTGGGACCCCCTAAGACGTTGTCACTGGGTGAGGTGGAGGGAGAGCCACTGCCAGAGGCTGCTGCAAATGTCCTCTGGGGAAACGCCAGGGACCCTCAGCTGCAGACCCAGGGGATCCCAATCCCTGATCCCTTCCTGAAAAGTAGCTGTTGCTGCTTTGTATCCTCCAGTGTCACAGGAATGCTGTGGCAAGACATCCTGCTGTAGTCTCGGGTTTCTAAACCTGTCACTGCCTCTTCATCGTTGTGACAGATCCCCTGATTCCCCCATTGCTCAGCCTCAGGTTTATTTTGGGGGTAATTCAGCATCTGGCCACCCGAGTCTTTTAGGGGTAAGTTGGGCCATTGTGTAAGTTTGTTTGTATGTCTCGCCTCTCTCTGGATTGCACTCACACTCTCACGCTGCTCTGGCAAACTTATATATATACACACACACACACATAACATCTCACCTGGCTAAGGTTTTTAAAAGTTTACAAAGATAAATAATAATCTGTTTTACCAGATGGAATGAGTCGCAAGTAAGATTATTGGAGCTATTAGATCTAGCTCTAATGGTTTGGGGATTCATTGCTGCAAACCTACATAATTCGACATATTTATTTACTTTAGTGTGACAACTGATTAACAAAAATGGAGCAATCTGAATTATATAAGGTGAACTACGGAGGAAGAAAAGTAACATATGACTATATTTTGCAAATGTCACATTAATTAAAAAATAAGTATGATTGATTTTATTATTTTTAAAGTGGGCATTCTTCACTGTTTCCAGACCTTTGTATGTATTTATATCCTTTTTTTTTTTTGGCCAAATAAGGTGTTCTTTTCCCTGTAACTTAAAGGTTATTTTTAAATACAACCAATCAGGCCCTAAGTGCAAAAAAGTTCTGTCTTGGTGCTTATCACTGGTATAATTATTCCTTTTGTTTTCCTACCTTTGCTCTTAGGAGCATGAATCTCTTTGTAGCTTTATGGTAATGGAATATTTCTAGTCATTTACTGTTAAAAACAAATTTTTTACATTGTACAAGTGAAGATTGTTTTCAGGGTTAAATGATTGGTATTAATGTATATAGCGTAAAATTATTGCAAAATTTTAAAATGATTTTTCTTAACTTGGTGTTCTTTTTAAATGCTCTTTGAAAAATAATATGAAAGTGATAAACCTTTGGTTATACTAAGCCAGTATGTTAAGAGTTTCTTTTAGATTTTATAATCAAGAGTTGCTTATAAATATTTATGACATCAAGCTCTTACTATTTTAGTTGTCTTAAAAGGATGGTAAATGAGTCATGAATTGGTTTGGTTATTTTAAAATTCTTGATGTGAATTTCACCATTGATCGACCATGTATATTCATATAAATGTACTTTCTCTTCTTCCCTGTTACCAGACTAATCTTAGAGAACATGGATTTTTCATGTCATTAATCTCATGCTCAAGTACTTAAAATGGTTCTCTTTTGTCCAACAGTCTGAAAGTCTTCATTTTGGTATAGTGGAGTCACAACTTTAAAGTGGTTAGGTTTTAAAGACTGTGCCTAAGGACAAAATTGAGCAAGCTCAAAATGATCCTTGAAAATCTAAATTGCCAATAAAATTCTCTTTATAGTCTTAAAGTTTAAATCCCTGGGGAGTGTAGGTATGAATATATTATGCATATAGTAAGTATAATATATATTAACTGCATATCAACATTTGACTTTTATAGCATTAATAATTACACTTTTTAAATGTGTATGTCTTTTGCCAATGGGTATGGTCGAATTTATGTATATTTATTGCTAATCCTATCCCTTATGATAGATCTAGAGTGTAAGCTCCACAAGGGCAGAGGATTTTATCTGGTTTATTCATGGATCTATCCTCAGAGCCTAGAACAGGGCCTGGCACATGCTAAGCATTCAATAAATATCTACTGAGTGAATGAACTCTGATGTACATACCTCTTTATAATTTGGTTTCACTTTATCCTACTTTAGCTCCCATTCAGTTCAATGAAAACAAAACCTTTTTTTGAATATACATCAGTTTTGCGTGAGGAACTCTGTGGGGCAGTGAGGACAGGAGGTAAATAAGATGTGTTCTTGCCCTTCAGAAAGGCCAGTGGCCTAGTTGGGGAAATAGACGTAAGCAACTACATTGAAGAAGAAATGAATTAAGTGCCATGGAAGGGGCATGGGAGCCATGCTGTGGGGGACAGAGGAGCCTTTAGCCCTGACGGAGGGCTCTGGGCAGGCTGTATGGGACAGGAAGGGCTTGGTAAACAAGGCCCACAAGGACCAAGAGATTGTCAGTAAGTAGAAGGCATTGGGTCAAAGGAACAGCATGAGGTGTGCCCTTTCTGTTCTGGACACATTTCCCTTGTCTTTCCAGACTTGCTTTCATTACTTCTTCCCACTCACTTACCCACTACCACCCCCACTAATCCAGATTATACATTGCTCAATCCCACCTGCTCTAGAAAAATCTAGGTCCAGTACACAGCTCTACTAATACCGTTCCTAAACTCAATAAAAGTTATTGTCTGTCCCATATACTTGATTACATTTTGCCTTGTTTTCTTAATTGTTGTCTTGTTGCCATAAGAAAATAGAGAAATTGGGTTTGAATTCAAAGAATGTTATATATATAACACTTCTTTTGAATTCTCACTGGCCTAGGTCAGCAACTGTACATGGTAGGTTCCTAGTTAAGTATTAACTGAATTGAGTGATGGTTAGATTATAGTACTGTGTTGTGAGTTGACTAGCAGACCTAAATCCGTGTCTTTTACCCTCTTCCCAAGAGGCTTCTCAGCCAGACTTGTCATGGCTCAGCCCATCTGAGATCTGTCTTATTCAAATTCCATGTCATGGGCCACATCCATGATGTGGGAAGCACTCCAGAAAAGTCCGGTTACACACATGTAAGATCTTGTTATTACAAGTTGTGATTACAGTGTGAAAATTGGGTCATTCATGTTCTTCTTTGTGTCCTGATATGAAATCATGAGTCAGTTATAGCTTTCATCTCAGAGTATTACCCGAGGAAATAAAAGATCTCTCCATTTGTATAATGGGAGTTATTGAAACGATGGTGTATAAATACACAATTTGCAGATCACTAGACGAGTCACTGACCCAGAAAGAGAATTCAAGGTATCTTGAGAGTCATATTAGTTTTAGTTCAATACTGACAAGACATGACCGCTGTTCTTTGGAAAGCTTTCTTTTTCCCCCTTCACTTTTGTATTGCCTTTTCAAAAAGATTGAACTGTTTCTTAGCTGCCCAATGAAGACAGTTAATACAGTTTGGCATGAATTCTAACGAAGACGGAATTGACCAAGCATCTCAGTAAAGCTGTTATTTAAAAAATGACCAAGGATGTTGATACAGCCACTTGTACCTGGATTACTCCCACCCCTGAAGAGTGGCTTTTTGGCGAGAGTGTGTCTGAAAGATTAAAGCAGAGCAAGTTGCCTTCTATGTATTTCACTTAATCACCACAGATCTAAATAAAGATTTCAAAGTAACTATTTCAAAAAACTTTGAAAATAATTTTCAAAATAGTATTATTTCAAAATAACTATTAGTATATGCCTTTTATAATACGGGCAGGGAGGGATTAAGTAATTTACTCAAGGTTATAGAGGTAGGGTTGGAATTCAATCTAGGATTTATCTAACTCCAAAGCTCACTCCATTGAGCTTTTGCTTTCAGACTGAAAATGCCAGGGATCTTGTGGCGTGTATTTGAAAAGAAATCCCACCTTGAGTTGATGGAAGGATATTAGACTAGATGATCCTACTGGCAGTGAAACCGGATGATGACCTTAAAGCCTTCTTTGAAAATTTGGATTTTATTAGTACTGTTACTATTAACTATTTGACAAGGTAAGTACTTAGAAAATTTGGTACCTCTGATAACATATAAGTAAATAATTGTAATACCTTTTAAAAAATGAAGTGATAAGAGTCCGAGAGGGCTGATTGTTTGAGCTCAGGAGTTCGAAACCAGCCTGAGCAAGAGCGAGACCCCATCTCTACTAAAAATAGAAAGAAATTAATCAGACAACTAAAAATATATGGAAAAAATTGGCCGGGCATGGTGGCGCATGCCTGTGGTCCCAGCTATTCAGGAGGCTGAGGCAGGAGGATCGCTTGAGCCCAGGAGTGTGAGGTTGCTGTGAGCTAGGCTGACGCCACGGCACTCACTCTAGCCCAGGCAAAAGAGTGAGACTCTGTCTCAAAAAAAAAAAAAAAAAAAATGAACTGATAGATTCAAGGGCCTGCAAATGGCATATTTTTAAACGTTTTAAAAACTGAGGTAAAGTTTACAAACACCGAAATGTGCACATCTTCAGCCAGATGAGTTTTGACAAATGCATAGTAAATCCGTGTAACTAACACCTGAACCAGTCAGTATCTGTCACCCCCGGAAAGTTCCCTGGTGCCTCTTTCCAGTGGCCTGCTCCCCAAAGGCCACAACTGTGCTCTGATTTCCATCATCAGACACCAGTTTTGTCTGTTAAGTGGTATATTTTGTGTAAAAGAAAAGCAAATGGTAAGCCGCATTGCACATTACTTAACCAGCACAACTATTAAGGCGGAATCCATCCTCTCTTTTTAAAAGAAAACTTTTAACACTTCCAAAGTAGAGTTTTTAAAAAACTTTAGTTATTTTTAATTTAATTAAATAACCATTTCTGATTCCAGGGAAAGGAAAATGAAGATGCCATTTACCTGAACTGTGTTCTTTTGAAATCCTTAAATAACTTTTGGGAAAGAATGTTTATGCCACTAAAATGACTTATTTTTGTGGTCTTCCAGAAAAAAATTATACTGGGGGAGACGGGATTGAAGTCGAAGTGTCAGGAGACTGCCGGTTCGCCCTTAAATCCCTGGTGGGCTGCGGGTGCGGGTGCGTGTTGCGGCGATCTGCCTCTGCGGTGGCCGCGCGCCCTTCCCGCGGGTTTCCTGTCCGGCAGCGGCGAGCCGGGGGCGGGCAGGAAGGGATGCGCTGCCCAGAAGGTGCGGGGGCGGGCCGCGCCCGGTCCCCAGTGCCCCCAGCCCTCCCGCTGCCCGCCCTTCCTGCGCCGTCGGGGGCGGGCCCGGGCGGGGCTGCGGGAGCGGCGCGCCGCGAAGCCTGGGCGCGCAGTCCCGCCGCGGGATGCTCCGCGCTCTGCCTCGCGGCCCTTGAGGCCTCCCGCCCGCCTCGCCGCCTCGCCCGGCCGGCCCGGGGCTGCTGCACCCGCCAGTCCCGAAAGGTAAGAAGAGCGCTCGGCGCCCCGGCGGGTGCTGCTGTGCCGCGGGGGCTCTCGGCGGCTCCGCTGGGGTCGGGAAACGCCCCGCACCCTGCCGCCTCCCCGCAGCCGAAAGCGCAGGTGGACGGCGGCGTTCCCTCCGTGCACCCGCCTCCGCCGCAGGCGACCCGCTGTACAAAGGCGTCGGTCTCCGCAGGTCGGAGTCCCGACGTTAACCTGACTCGGGCTCTCGCCTGGCGCAGGTGTTGCAGAGTGACAGACCCGCCATAGACCGGTGTTGAGTCCGCATTGTTGAGACTCGAAAAATCGCGTCTTGGGATAATAAGCGTTGCAGAATAAGTTTGTTTCTCCCCAAACCCCGAATAAAATCCTTTCTGGGATAAAAGCAGTATGAGAGAATGAGCATTTCACAACGGTCCTCATTAACAGGACCTTGTGCTGACGACCCCAGGGCTAGATTTCCAAGCATGAACTTGACTTGCGGGCCTTTGGAAAGTTGAGTAGATGGGGCGAGCGCACAGATTCCCAGCGAAGCTGCACCCACGCCGTGGGACCAGGGCAGAGCAGACTGCACTGAATACATAAATAAAGCCTGTTTACACCAGCCACTTTGGAATTAGGGATTTCCTTCTCATAAATATTATTCTTAGATATACACACGAGCATGTGCATGTTTGTCAGAAGGAACAAAATCATTTTGCTTCTTTTTGTTTTCCCTTTTATTCTTTGACAAGTCATCGGTCCCACGGATATTAGCCTTAATTCATTTTCTTTTTCTGCAGCTATGAAGGGGGATATGGAAGCGTTTATCTTAGCTGGTTTCAGCAAAAAACGTAGGGTCTAAGGTCGAGTGATGCTATTAGCCATTGAGAATATTCATTTCTCCCCACCCTCACAGCTGATGCATTTAGAATTTTTCTATTAACTTTAATGTATGTGAATGCTATATAAAAGTATTTTCAAATATGGTAAAGTATACTTAAGTTCTTATTTTCTTAGAACGATTCTCAAGCCAAACATTGTAAGTAGCAAGTTGTGGTATTGGGAACAGCATTTCAGAGAAAATAAGCAAGTAAGGTTGGAAAAAAAATTACAGAAGCATGTTATGATTTTGATATGACAATAATCGATAGCCTGGTTTGTTTTATAAGTCCATTTCCATTCAGTTCTAAACATAGATTATCACACAATTCTGTTTTATCGGTCATTTTCATAAGAAGGAAAATGTGTTATAATCAGAAAATCATTTATGATTAGGGGCTTTAAACTTCTATAGTGCTAGAAGTGAGCAATTTGGGAGTTGGCAGTTCAACTTTGGGGAGCTAACTTCTCCTTAGTTTGGTCACTGAGTATCATCGGTGACTTAAAGGAAGCATTGTAATTGCCCAAAGTGCCCACACTTGCCCAACAGATACGGCGATGCTTTCCGCAAGGGCCTCACCTGCAGTCTTTGGCCAGGTTTCCCAGTCCCTGTTCAAGGAAAGGGTTAGGTCAAATCTGTGGGCAATTCCACTAAAACAGAATTTTCTGTGTTTTCTTTTCTTTTTTTTTTTTCGCTGGGGAAAGGAGGGCGCCCCAATCATCCCCATAATTACACTTCAAATCCTTCAAATCTCTGCTTCTCTTTGAGGAAGTACAATATTTCCTTTGTTCAAGCATCTCATACTGACAGAAAGCTAATAGAGACACACCAGTTTCCTTTCCATTGAATGTTGGCTTATTTCAACCAGTCCTCTTTGTTTATTTATTTATTTATTTATTTATTTATTTATCAACCAGTCCTCTTAATTCCATTAATTTCTGCTCTTATCTGAAGGGATGTAACATTTATTTGGAATATAATTGCCTATCAAAATATATTAACTAAGAGTAATGGGGGACTGTAAACATTAAGAAAATGTGTTATTTGGCTATGTTTAAAAGCACATAGTTTGTTAGACTCAAGTATGCAAAAAATTGTTCTTAAATGCCCTGCATCTTATTCTATGGTCTAATAGTCTGTTTATATCAAAGTAAGTGCTTCTTTCCACAAATCACTCTGATCCACAGGCCAACAAGATCTTCCCTGCCTTCCTAGGTGGTCTGGGAAGACTGCTGTGTGAATCATCTGTCTCCTGGTGTATACTAGTAGCAACAGTATTGCAAGACTGACAGAGGATGATAATTGTAATTTACTTGTTTTCTCCTTAGACTGCCCTAAACAAGGGAAGTCAGGGCCACATGGAGTTCACATTCAATTGTAATACTGTGGGTATCTTTTTGAAAGCTTTGATCGTTTGCTGTACCTCCTAGGAATCAAGAAATGAAGTAATCCACAGGACACATCAGTTGTGCAAGGAAGTATTAATAGCCCACTTGTGGAAACCAGGCAGGGATGGTTTGGGCGTACACAGCACAATCCTAACTGAAAGTACGGCAAAAATTTAGTAAATTGATCAGTGTGAAATGCCAAGCAGATAGTGTGAAAATGTATTATCTAAATTGGCTATTAGCTTTGATAAAATTAAGCAAGTAACAATAAACTCTTCACTTAAGGATATGTTATAAAGAGAAGAGACTTTGGTGTTTTGCAAAGATAATCTTAGTGTTGAGCACACCTGAATGTTCTTGACAGGTGAGCTACAATGGAATAAAAGAGGCTTATATAGTTACAGGTCATTGCCCTTGGGAAAATTAGCATCCTCACTAGTTTCCTTCCAGTATCAGTTATGAAGTTTGACTTTTTGGACAGTTTTGTCATTTCATGATTACTATTTTATGAATCACATTGAATGGACCCATCATTTTTTGAGGTTCTAATTTCAGGTGTTTTTTTAAAAAAATCACAATTTGGATGTGAAAAAGGACATGAGGAGACTAAAGACCTGGGATTTTGCTGATCAGAATGAAACCAATGTTGAAAGACTTCTCAAATCTATTGTTGGTGGTGCTCTGTGACTATGGTGAGTATTGTGAGTATACTTAATGCTACAGGTAGCATAAATATAAGTGTGAGGTATATAAATGCATTATATTGATGACTCTTCATGAAAGATGCAGGGTAGGGTCTATAGTGCAATGCCTTTTAAAGCGTGATCGTTGCAACCCTGGGTTCTCTTACGGGGGCTTCAGGGGTTCTGCATGATTGATTCAAATTTCACTTTAAATATATTTTAACTATTTTAAAAATAATCAACAACTTACTTCCATTTTAACAAATTGGAGACAAGCGTGTTACCTTGAATTCCCTTTGATTTTCTAGTAATTCAGTATAATAAATCACTTCACACACACGGAGTGACGTTTTGTATATTGAGGTTCTACACAAGATTTCACTTGATCAGAGAGTTTTGATGCTAAAGTATCTTTGGAAGCAAACTGAATTTTAATCCTTGACGGTTGTGTGCTCTTAGACAAGTTTCTTAGTCTCTTTCAACCTTAGCAATAATATTGACTTCACAGGGTTGTTGTGATACAATAAAATCAAGAATATGAAACACCTTGAATGTCTGAGCATGTAGTAGGTGCTTAAAGGTAGTTCTCTTCATTCATTTTGTTTCCATTCTCAGAATTTTATGCAACTACTGAACCAATAGAGTCAACAATATGACATAATCTTCACTACTTTTCTTTTGATGATTTCTAGATATTTCATAGATGTCTAAGCAGTTGATGATATGGGAGTGGAAATTGTTTTCAGATTTGATGAAAAAATTATGATCTAAGAGATAAAGAATACTGGCTTGAATAATATCAGTGTAACAGCCAGTTAAATGGATCAGAGCATGTGCTGTTCATTTCACTTAGTAGATCTCCTTTCTCAGTCTTTTCTTTTTTAAGAAGTTTATTTAAACAAGAAGATACTTCATTTAAGGAAAACTAATGTGGAATTTAATTCTGTTAAAGTAATTTATTCTTACCTAAAACCAGATTGCTCTACATGTAACAGGCTTCTACAAAAATTTATAAGTCTCTTTGGTTGCACGATGATAAATAAAACATCAAAATTCTCCACTTAAACCAAGTGTGCAAGGATGTTTGTTGTTAAGAGCAAGGTATCTTACTAGAACATAAAAATAAAAGTTGAATGAGTATAAAATAGAGCATAGAGTTTGAGTGCATAGGTCACTAATGGAAAGGAAGGTATTTTCATAGATGTGTTTTTTCCCCTTTATCTCCACTTCATATTGATCAAAATATACCATTATCAGTTTTTTTTTAAAGCAACACGTTTTTATAGAGACACCAGTTACTTTAAAAACAATAAAGAAATGGAGAGAGGGAAAATGAAAGAATAGAGAAAACTATTATAGTAGTCAGGATGCAGAAGAACCAAATCATACTTTTCTAAATGAGAATATATTCTTGTCTGGAGGAACAGGAGTTCTGGAGTAAAGTAGCGAGTTCTCCCTTTATACACATCTCCTATCTGCTGCTGCTGGAATCCATCCATTGCATCTTTGTTCTCCATTTCCAACTGGGCATGCGTGTCTGTTTCATTGATTGGCTCCCCATTAAATCAGAATCTGATCTACCTCATTGACAATTTCTGTCATTCATAATACACTTTCATTAGTTAACTAAGTGGTACATGACTCTTAATCTTCAAATGCGCCATAGAGCCATCCTGCCCCCTTCAGATTCAAATTAATCTGATTTTCTCAGTCTTAACTTCTTCCTGTGGCTGTGGTAAGTGCAGGAGTCTCTTTAGCCCTAGTTCACGCAAAGTGCCAGGTCGGCTCTGAACTGGCACACAAGCTGCAGCAGAATCACCCACCTTCCTCAACCTTGAGTCAGTTCCAAGCAAAATGGAATTTCCCTCAACTTCTATTTTGCCTAAATGGAAAAAAGAAAAAAAAGAATTTTATCCTGTTATGGTTTTCAAACAAGTGATCAAGAATTCAAGCCTATCCAAATTTTAGATATTTTATTTCACCTTATCTCAATGACAACTAGGTGAAGTGCTGAGCTAATTAAAAAAAAAACCCACCTCTGTGTGCCAAGATATTCATGTGCTGATTCTAATAATCATTGACTGAATATCTGTAAGGGTATTTTAAAGCCTACCAGCCAAAACAAAAAACACATGAGCCCCTTTGGACATATATGCTATGTATATATTATATATGTGTGATGCATATATAATAAGAATAATAAATTAATACTTACGTAAGTTGTTTTTCAAACCTAAAGGGCACTGTAGTCCCTTAAATCTAGAATTCTTACTGTCGCCATGGGCCAGCTGATTGTTGCATTGCCAAATTCTGCCTCTTTTGATACGTATTTGGATAGAGTTCAAAATAGAAACAAGGATTCTTGTGTGTCTGTGTTCTTTGTCCTCTTCAGCTGCTCTGTGGGGTCTCTTTTTAAAAGATATAATTGATCCTAACTGAATGATACTTGGGAAGCCAGTAGTCGCCTGTCCTATCTAGGCCAATACCAGTCACTGTAATGTCATTAAAATTGCCAGGGACAAACCTAGTTATTTGATAAACGTTTACCCTGTCCCTGGGGTTACCCCTGCAGAGTAAAGTGTCAACATTTCTTATCCATCTAAAAATTTCTGCCCCACACAAACTGAGGACACTTGTTCCTTTACTGGTAAAAATTCCCAAGTGTTTGTCTTGAATATCAGAAAATAATAACTTTGAAGTAAATTTTGGGTTTTACATTTGACATAATCTACTACAGCTTGTATTATGTCATTTAAATAGAGCTTTCTCTTACTTCTCTCTGTATCCATTTCCCCTAAATATCAGAATATGATTAAAATGGAAAATGAGAGGTATTGAATTTTTGTTCTGAGAATTGTCAGTTATTCTAGCTTTATAGATTTTCGTTACAGATATATTACATTGTTGAGCATTGTGAATTCAGAGTATCATTAATTATTTTAAACATAACTATGAAAAATGAAGATGATGGAGCAGAGCCACTTTAGAATGGAAAGAGCACAATGCCTAGCTCCCAGATCTGTACTCAGCAACATTTTGCATTACCCTTGGCTCAATTCTAACCTTCTATTCTGTCTAAAGTGCTGTTTTTGAGCCGGGCATCGTGGGGTGTGCCTGTAGTCCCAGCTACTCAGGAGGCTGAGGTGGGAGGATTGCCTGAGTCTGGGAGTTTGAGGTTGTAGTGAGCTACGATTGTGCCACTGCACTCAAGCCTGGGCGACAGAGCAAGACCCTGTCTCTTTAAAAAAAAAAAAAAAAATGCACCTCTTAAAAACCAACCCTGACCATTTCATTTCAGTTCTTGGAGAAGCTGAATATCTCTTCTTGGGAGAGCCAGGCCATGTAGCGCTAAGCAACAAGACAGTGTCTGTGGATTTCCAGTATTTTGATGGTGCTAATGGGACGCTGAGGAATGTGTCTGTCCTGCTGTTGGAGGCCAACACCAATCAGACTGTTACCACCAAGTACCTCCTGACCAACCAGTCCCAGGGAACACTCGAGTTCGAGTGCTTCTATTTCAAGGAGGCTGGCGATTACTGGTTCACAATGACTCTGGAAGTGACAGACAATAGCACTCCAGTCTCCTGGTGGGAGAAAAGTGCCTTTCTGAAGGTGGAATGGCCTGTCTTTCACGTTGACTTGAACAGGACCTCCAAGGCAGCAGAAGGCACCTTCCAGGTGGGCCTTTTCACCAGTCAACCACTATGCCTGTTTCCTGTGGACAAGCCCGACATCATGGTGGACGTCATCTTCACCAACAGTCTTCCCCAGGCCAGAACAAGCCCGGAGCAGCCGCTGGAGATAAGAGCCAGCAAAAGGACAGAACTCACTCAAGGTCAGTGGGTTGAGTTTGGCTGTGCACCTGTGGGGCCAGAAGCCTATGTCACTGTGGTGCTGAGGCTGCTTGGGCGAGACTCGGTCATTACCTCCACGGGGCCCATTGACTTGGCCCAGAAGTTCGGATACAAACTGGTGATGGTGCCAGAGCTCACGTGTGAGTCCGGCGTGGAGGTGATGGTGCTGCCCCCACCGTGCATCTTCGTCCAGGGAGTGATCGCTGTCTTCAAGGACGCTCCTGGACACCCTAGGGGGCGGACTGTTCAGCTGGCCGAGAACAACCTGCCCCTGGGAGAGAGGAGAACAGTATTTAACTGCACTTTGTTTGACATGGGGAAGAATAAATACTGCTTTGACTTTGGCATTTCAAGCAGAAGCCATTTTTCTGCAAAGGAGAAGGAGTGCATGCTAATCCAGAGAAATATAGGTTGGTATTGAGATTTTAAAACATTTTTAGGTCAAATCTGTGTCTTCATGTAATCAAAATTATTAGTTACAATTTAGGTGAACTTTAGGCAAATGTACCATCATTTTTATGGTTCATTCCTTATACTGTACCAATTGACATTGTCATCCTTATCTGAAAAATTAAGACTAGTGGTAAACAGACCCACTTAACCTCTTTAGGTCGCACTTTCCCATCGGTAAAATAGGGATAATAAAATACCTACCTTAGAGTTGTGGGGTTGAATGAAATAAACATGTAACCTTCTCAGCTTGCTACCTGGCATATAGAAAGTGCTCAATAAACATTAGCTATTGTTATATTTTAAAAATCCTATTATTACATCGTATGGTAAATCCATGGCAGACATGACTAGAACTCAAACCTATATCCCAAACTTTGTAGTTAGCAATTTCTGTCTGCCTCTAGCTGAGCATTCTCTCTTTTCTCTTACATCATTCATTATAGGATTTAAGACTTAGTGAGAAATCAAAACAGATCTCTGAAAACTTCTCCAGATTCTGGGTTCTTGGTGTAAGGCCCTGCCTAATCACAAAGAATGGAAGTGACAATTCCATTCTCCATGCTGCTCTTTGCATTTCTTTCCCTTTTCCTGGCTACAAACCTGCTCTTAGCATGGTTTTAATTTGGCGGAGATGGTCTGGTTTGCTTACCTGCTGTTTTTGTCTTCATCCCCACTAAGCCCAGTGCCCCCTGACTGCACAAGCCTCTGACTATGTCTGTAGCCCTGCGTTCCTTGCTGCAAATTTACCCACTTCCTTTTCCCAGAAGTCCCTTTCCTTCAGCTTTCTCCCCCTCCACTGGCTGCTTCCCTGCTTGCACTCACCTCTCTAGCCAGCCTAGATTCCGTGGTCCATCTCTTTAACTACCCTCCTACCAACATCCTAAACTCCTCTGCCCTGTCGTCCTTCCAGTGCACCTGCCAGGGTACACCCCAGCTTTGCATGACTTTAGCCATCTGCCAGTCGCCCACTGTACCCAGGCTGCCAAGGCTGCATGACAGGGTCACACCTAGGCAGATGGTTACCGCTATGGGTGCATCATGCTTCCACCATCAGCGGGGCCTGAATGCTGCCTGGCATGTCACCCTGGCCAGGTCATGCTCTGCTCCTGTTCTGCACAACGGCCCTTTCAGACCTCCTGCACTCTCCTCAGACCTCAGCCCCTACCTGCTGGTTAACTCAGAGTTGACTTTGCCAACTGCCACACAGGGGGCTGAGAGCTATTAGGTGGAACCTTGCACCCTCCCACCAAAAGATCTGTACGCGTACAGGCGTCAGACCCATCCTCTCCGCTCCTTCCTGTCACCGTGACCTGTCATTCCTCCCCTGCTCCGTGGATGCCAGCCCCTCTGCTCATTTCAGGAACCTTCTGCTTGTCATTACCCCTGTCTGTCTTCCATCTTTAACTGTCCCTCCTTTGCTGGCTCATTCTCATCAGCTTTGAAATGTATTTAATTCTCTTATCTAAAAACAAAACAGAAACCATCTCTAACCCCGTGTTTTCCCCAGACATTACCTTCTGTCTCTCCCCTTCCCTTTATAGCCCAAAAACTTTGAAATAGTTGCCTACCCTTTGGGGTTCATTTCTTTGCCTCTTATTCTCTTTACAAATCACTGCAAACTGGTTTCCACCCCCAACTCCTTCCCTGAAAATGCTCTCACAGAAGCAGCTAGGAATGAGTTGCAGGTCCGCAGACCCAGGGGCACTTCAGTCCACATCTTCGTTGACCTTGATTCCGGGATGCCACGCTCGCCTGCTCACCTCCCTCCACCCTGGCTGCTCCTTCACTGCCGCCTCTGCCCGCCAGTTCCACCGCCTGTCTCATCCCCCAGGTGCTGGTCATCTTCTGTTTTATGTCACACACTTGCCAAGTGATTAGTCTCGATGCTAACGACTCCACATGGTTGTCATGCCCTGCACTCACCCTGCATCCAAGCATGTGCGATAGCTGGCACCCCTCAGGTGTCTCCCGGGCCCCTCAAAAGCAGCATGTCTGGAATTGGACTCACCCTTGTACCCGCAGCCCTGCTCCTCAGTGTGGGACTCCACCACCCATCTCACTGTTCTAACCAGAAACCAGGAGTCCTCCTCTTCTCTTGCTGTACATAATGCACCGCTGTGTCCTATGGCTTTGTCTCCCGGGTGTCACACTCTCCACTTCTCCCCGATTCCACTGCCCTACTTGGGTTAAGCCTCTGCCACTCCTCACCTGGACTCTTGCAACAGATTCCTAATTGGTTCCTTCCCTGCCTCCACTTCCTTCCCTCACTGCGGCCAGAGGGACCATTTAACATTTAGGTCAGCTGAGGCCATGCCCCTGCTTAAAAGCTTTCAGTCACCTCACTTGGTGTGAGGATGGGAATCGTCTATGGATTCTCCCCCACCTCTGCAGTCACCATTTCTGGGCTGGTGCCTGAGACACTGTCCTCCCACGTGTCCCTGGTTAACATTCACCCGTCCTCCAAGTCTCCACTCGGGTTACTATTCCTTGACCTCGGGCTGGTTCGGTTCCTTTGCTGTAAGCTGGTGCAGCATTTTTAGGTCTTTCATGGCATTTATCACTTCTGCTATTGCTTGTTTAATGTCTTCCTCCCCCTACCTTCCCCCCACCCCACAGACAGGGAAAGCTAATTTGGTGGCAAAACTCAACTTATGCTGTCATGAAGCTTTTATGTTCTTTCTTTCACCCACTCAGTATGCCTAACACATTAATAGGTGCTCTGTACATGCTTATTAAAGTGAAAATTGAACTCAGGTCTGGCTAGTCTCAGCTAGGTATTAGGAGCAACACAATTAGATTAAACTAATTTAATCATCCAAAATATTCTTGCCTTTTCTAAAGAAGGTACTTGTTCAGTGAAAAAAGTTCTGACTGAATTTAATGGTTATGAACGGTGGGAAGTCAAGAAATTTGAGCCATTTGATTAAAGGCACTTGGGGGCAGGAGGGCTCCCTTGTTGGTTTTCCAAGCTGGTGGGCTTTTCACGGGTGGTTCCATTCAATGTCTAAAGACTGGGGTTCTTAAAACTCACAGCACTAACAGCAGAAAGATGCTGGGAAGGGGCAGAATGGGGGATGGTTCTCTGCGTGTCCAGGCTAAGGGTGGTCAGGGGCTCCGTGTGGGGCTGCCCCATGCAGCAGCTGCCAGACACCCAGCGGCGGGCCTGGGAGCGGTAAGTGGAGGAGCTAAGCATACCTGGGGAGCCCCAGTGCTCTGTGTGGCTCAGCCACAGCAGCTCTGGCTCTGTTAGGCTGAGAGTTGAAATTTAGGCTCACAATAGGAATCTCAGTGACTTCCTGTGTTTTCAGTAGATAAATTTATGACTGAACTGAGTGAGTTCCTTTTTTTCATTTTCTATTTAGATTGATAGCTCTAACCAGTAAAGAGTGTCTTTGTTTGCCAAATGGCATCATTTAGGGACCCACCGTGACTTGTGTGAGCCACTGACCTCACACTGAATTTCTTATTAGTGCCTTTTGAAAATGGAGTAATGTGTATATGTTTGTCTCTTTTTTCCAAATATGTCTTAGGACCTTAGGATAGTATGTAAATAACAATTTATAGCAAATACATCCTGTATGTTGCCAAAAATGACTATTTATGATCTTTAATCCCTTCCATGGGATAAATAACATTTATATAATAGCATGATTACTTTGCAGCAGGCACTGTTCTGAGTACTTTATGGACCCATTTAGTCCTCATGACAACTCTAAGAGTTGGGTTCATTGTATTGTCTGTTTCACAGGTGAAGAAATGGAGTCATAGAAAGATTAAGTAATGTGCTTCAAGGTCAATGGTGTTTAAGTGGTAGAACCAGAACACAAACCCAGGTAGATTAGTTTGAGTTTGCTTCTACCATTATTCTATAACTGCCTTCCCTATAATCAACTGTCCATCTGTGTATTAAACAATGTGAAGCTTTTAGATTGGAAAACCAAAGGTTCTGTTTTTTCCTCAACTCACTGGCTCATCTTGTGCCACCCACCCCTCTTGGAAGACCCATAACCACTTGGGAGTCCACTGGCCCAGGTATAAGCATGACTTGTTCAGTATAAGTGAGCCTTGTTCTATGCAAAGAAAATCTGAACTGCTTATCACAGGGCCCTTTGCTCCTACTACTACTTGTAGCTACTCACTTATGTCTACAGAATTTTCTTATAAGCATAATTTGTTTGGTTACCTAGGTCTTTAGAACAAAACATCTTGCAGATATGAATATTTCATATGTTGTATTCCTTCAGATAGTGTTGGGGCAGAAACAAATCTCTGTTTTCACATTCCGGACAACTTTCGCTCATTCAGAATTAATATCCTCTGTAATAGCCTGAAAGGCATTTAGCCTGGTCAAGCAGGTTTGTTATACAGCATGAGTGCACCTGTGGACATCTAAACAGGACAAAATAAAACAGTAAGACTGAAGTAAGACCATTTGAGATATTGGTCATCTTGCTTTTCATTTCTAATACAAAAACTGTAGTTATCTCATGAGTTTCCATTTTGCCAGGTATTTTCCTCAAAGTTTTTTTTTTTTTAATTGAGATAGGGTCTTGCTATGTTGCCCAGGCTAGTCTGAAACTCCTGGGCTCAAGCAATCCTCCCACCTCAGCCTCCAGAGTAGCTGGGTTTACAGAGAGGTGCCATCATTCCTGGTTTCCTCAAAGTTATTAGCAGAGATCTTCAGGTATAAGATAGAGTTTACTTAAGGCATTTTTAAATTTTTCTGATTAAATTTGATCATTGTTTTATTGTATTTATTGAGTGATGTGCTGTGTTTCCTGTTTGATTAATTTGACTTAGAAATAAAGACATAAAAACTTAGGTCACGTTTTTTTTTTTTTTTGCTAATTATCCTATAAGCTATGGTTTTATTTTCAAGGGAAAAGAATACTTAACATTTCAAAATGGAATTTTTTTGACATTAAGATTTATGCTTTTATCAAAACTTTGATTTTTTTGTGATACCCACTAATGGGGCTTTTGTTTTTGTTTGACAAATGACTTCATGTATTTAAGTAAATTATATTTATATAAAGTAAAAGAAGAGCTCAGAAAGAATAACAAAAGGATTCTTAGTTTTTTTAATTCTACCTTTTGTTGTCTTAAATATGAGCACAAGAGAAGGGTAAACTACACACTGACTTAATTTTCAGTTTAGATTTCATAGTAGTGGGATTCCCAGTAGATTTTCAAAAAAAAAAAAATCACAATACTTCAACTCAGAAGGATTTGAATATGAGATTCTCAAAGCTTTTTAAGCACTGGAGGCTTAGTGTTGGAACCGCTCTGAAGCCTTGAGGACAAAGCCAGCTTATTGTTCTGCCATAGGAGGAGCTGGAGTATGCTCTGGGAGACACAGAACCAATATTGTGTTTAGTTGGACCTGTGGATGGAACATAATTACCATGGCCCAGTTGATGCCGCTCCAGGATACAGGTTTATAATGCTCCCGCTCTTGTGAAAATCCTCAGAGACTTTTAATTGCTGTAAAGAACTCATATTCCATTACTCACTCCAAAGATTGCACCACTTGGCTCGCCTGAGATTGCATCTGCCCCATACTTTTATGTTTTGTAGTGCTTTATGTACCTTTGGCTGCATTAGAAGTTTTTCTCCATAAAGGATGAAGAACAACCTTTATGCAGAGGATGTTTTGGTGCCTGGTGTTGGCAGAACCTGATAGGTCTGAAGGTTGGATGAGTCCTGATAGAGAGGAGATTTAGGTTAATTCTTTATAGAGAACTATTTAATTATTCTATCTGGCAATAATTATGTATCTGCTTGGAAGAGAAGTTAGCATTCATCAATCAATAATGGCCGTTCTTGAAGGGAAGATTTTGTGTGTCTCTTGAAGCTCTGGTGTTAGGTGCATCCTCATTTAGGATCATTAAGGCTCCTTGCTGAATTGACCCTTTATCATTATGTAATGCCCCTCTTTATCCCTAGTAATATCCCTGGCTCTGCATTCTGTTTCGTCTGGTATTAATATAGCCCCTCTAGTTTTCTTTTTATAACTGGTCATAAGGTATATATTCTTCCATCCTTTTACTTTTAACCTATATATGTCTT